GTCAAGCCCGCTGCTCCCCTCAGCAGTGTATTTTGTTAGTCTGCCTGTTCTGTTCCCCACTCTGTCTCTGGTGAATCCTCTCACCCCCTGCATCTCTGGCCTGTACCCCAGCACTTGTATACATAAATAAATAACAAAAATCTTAAAAAAAAATTTTCTTCTTATGCTGTGGTTTTTAAAAGGGTAGGAAGTACATGTGTAAGGGGAGAAAATAGGTCTTAATTACCTTTGTTTAGCATCTAACAGCTGCATGTTGGGAGGATCTGAGAATTCAGGCTTGGCCCCTGGCAAAAGACTATTTCTGGGGGTCTGAGAAACCACAGAACTTTTGGTAATTAGTTGGAAATAGAGGGAAAAATTGGAGACTGAAGCATCTCAAACATACAGAATGTTTCATCAAGCCATTTCCTAAACTCTGAAACCTGTGAGAGGCCATTGGCTAAATCTTAACCTGAAAACCTCTGAAGAACAGAAAAGAATGACATGCCGTCTATCAATGAACAGCCATCAGGCTCTCAAAGTCCAGAAGAGACATGCCATAAGAAAAAGGGTGACAAGGGATAGACTGAATCTTACAAACAATAACCCAGCCTTGAAACAGCTAATTAGTTTAAGAGGACAAGCCCACCCCTACTGATTAACAGAAAAAGGGCAGACCCTCTCTGGTGAAAAATAAATCACCTGAAGCTTCTATAGCCCTTTTAAAGCAAAAGGAAAAGTAGAATAGGAAGAGAAAAAGGAGAGAAAAGGGAACATAAAACAAGCAGGTCAAACAGGAAAAAAACAACTATAAGATCAATGTAAACTTAAAAATATTAGAACTCACATTAAATATAAATAGGTTCAAATATTCAGATGAAAACTGTCAGACTGAAAAAGCAAGCAAGCACACAAATAAAATACAATTGTATGTGGTTTATAAAATTATAAAACCATGCATGGTTGAAAATAAAAAGATGCAAAAAGATATACAAACACTACATATCAAAGCTGATACAACTGCATTAGTAACATACAACATAGACTTCATGACAAACATCACTAGAGATTAAGACAGACATTTGATAATGATGAGGGGTCTACCCATAGGAAGACATTATCATTCTGAATTTGTAGGCATCATCCAGACCATAAAGGGCCTGACTGTGGAAATTGTGTCTTTGGTTCTCAGCCCTTCAGACTCTACCAACAGTTTTCCTAGGACTTCAGCTTGCAGAGAGCTAATCATGGGATTTCACAGGTTCCATAATGATGTGAGAATCTTGACCAACACAATATTAAGAACTTTGGTTATCAAAAGTAGCAATTAAGGAAATGAAAGAGTAACATAGAGAAATAAGAGCAACAAATAGAGAACATTTTACATATGTATCTCCTACAGAATCATACCCAGAATGCATTTTATACTAACTAGGACTTATCTTTTGCTAAACACGCAGGGCCTTAAGGACCACATTGAGGATTCTGGATTTTATTTAAGTGTAATCAGAAACCACTGCGTTTTATAACTTCATTTCTTATCATCTATTCATCTGCTCACATTTAAGCCGGACGCTTATTCTTCAACTCTACCCCAATTTCATACAAATCCTAGATGGCATCAGCATCCAAGGCTTGGATGTTGTTATTCAACACCCTGGACTCCAGTGACCTCTTCTCACCCTAAGCAGACTTCGCTTCACTTTACTCAAAACTACTCCAGCTCTCAAAATCAAATTCCAGGGGCCTCCCAGGTGGCACAAGGGGTTAAGACGCAACCTATGAAGCTGTCTGTAGCCACTGCAGCACGAGTTTGATCTACAGCCAGGGAGCTACCCACATGGCACAGCAGACCTCTCCTGTCTCACCTGCTGCTCCCCTCAGCAGTGTATTTCAGTCAGTCTGCCTGTTCTGTTCCCCACTCTGTCTCTGGTGAATCCTCTCATCCTCCTCACTTCTGGCCTGTACCCCAGTTCTTGTATGCATAAATAAATAAATCTTTAAAAAATCAAATTCCAATATTTCATTCTCAGATCATAACCTCTCATTAATCCTATTTTCCACTATCTAACATCTATCATGCCGTGTCCTCCATACTTTACATTTTATTATCTGATTAGAAAAAAAGACAAAATCTCATTAGAAGAATTACTCTTTTTTCCATTCCTGCGCCAAGGTATATAAGCTTCTCTACACCTTTCTCCATGTGCACGTATTTGTGAATTTTTAGATACAAAGAGAAATGCCTGTTTTGATTACAAAAAGAATCATATGAATACACAATTCCATGACTTTTCTTCAGCTCAAAATCATGAGCAGATGTCAAGCAGCAGATAAAGACAAAACTCATTCTTAAAATTGCTACCCATTATTCCAAGTGGTTCCCCCTGCAAAGGGGACTTTGTCTTTTGCTGCAACTAACTTGCTGACCCCAGAAAACCTCCTAGATTGCTCTCCAGTGGAGTGAAGTGTTTCCATCTTTGCAGCTGGAAAAGAACTGCTGCTTGTGACTGAAAAAATCTGGGAATGGGATGGTTTCTCAGAGCAATTCAGCAGAGAAAGAGGTTTCTGGCCCATGAGAACTGAAACCATGGTGTCTTTCGCCACTTGGTTTGCTGCTACCCAAGGATGCTGGCAAGTACCAAGTAACCACAATCATGACTAGGCAAGGAAAATTAAAACTTACTTATGGGCCTCGGAAAGAAAAATGGCCAGCAGAACAGAAACAGGAGATGCCTACTAAAGCAGAACCAATGGAAGAAACCTAAGAGAATTTTAATGAAAATATAATGGAATTACAGTTCTAAAACCAAAAATCAAACCCCGATACTTTCAGGAATTAAACAATTATTCCTTAATTAGAAATGCAATATTCAACAGAAAAAGAGAATAACTATCCTTGAGAATTACATTACTGGTGAGAACTGGGTGGAAGAAATACCTCACAATAAAACCAGTGAAAGACCCTGAGAGGAGACAAGTTGTGTGGAGATGAGATCTAGGAGACCAAACCAGGAGGAAGAAAGGAACATGTGGAGAAGTGATAATCCCATAAATGGTGGAAGAAAACTTTAAAACTTAAGAAAGTCATGAGACTCTGAATATGAAGGATAAAGGGAAAATCTTGCCAGCCTGCAAATGATGTGGGAAAATGGGCTCTCTAGGGTGGCGGGAAGCTAGAAGCTAGACGCAGACATCGCGCAGACACATCAGAGCACTGGCGCTGAGCCCTCCTGACACTGTCTGGCTCACTCACCAGAAGAGCCCAATCTGTGGGCTCAATGCTTCCCATTTTCAGAGACTGTTAAAATCCTTCTAGGATCCAGCAGACTTCCTTTGCTATTCTATGTCACTAGTGTCTCAGTACCAACAGTCTTTGCAGCAGTCTTTTCCATCCAGTCTACTTAAAACATTGCAGGTACCCATTTTTAAACGTGGTATATACAAATTACTTTGATAAAAATTTAAAATATGAAAAAATATAGATGGAGTAAACATATGACTTGTAAAAGGAAACCATTACCTTTATAAATGAAATGTATATAAAAGTAGTGAGGTCAGTTAAAAGCAGTGATACCTGCTACTAATGAGCTGTGTGGCCTTAGGCAAGTGACTTAACCTTTCTGTGTTTTGGTATCGTGAAAAGTAAATGGAATTAATAGTACTCATGTGATCAGCTATAAAGATGAAATACGTTAATATATTTAACACACTCACACTTTGGCAAAGAGCAAGTAGGCAGTCACAGCAATGCTGCTTGTTGCTGAACCTGTGCTGTTGCCACTGCTGCTTGAAACAGAAAACAGCAATGTACAAAGAACTTTAACTCGGGAGTCAGAAGACTTCAGTTTACATGCCAACTTTAATACTGAAGAGATTTATACTGCAGTTACAGCAGTTAATCACTCTATGCTCATACTTTTCTTCATATCTAAAACAAGAATATGAATACCTACCTTTTTCAACATCCGTCCATTTATCTACATCAATTGAGTACCTACTACATACCAGGTGTTGTGCAGGGGGTAAAACATAGTAAGATGCAGTTCTGCCCTGCAGGAATGCAGTTTAGTGAGCAACACTAAAGGGCCTGAATTTCCTTTTGGGGAAGTATTTCTTAAAGGCTTCCTCTGCCTTAGGATATAAAGAAAGGACCAGAGGGTGAAGCATGTGTTTTGGTATCACAAGTATTAGGATTTAAAAAAAAAAAGGCAATGCTAAATTGCTAGCCATTGTGGTCAGTTTCTGACAGTTACTATATTTTGCTATTGCCTGCAGATGATATGAAGTGTTAGGCGTGAAGGGACCAAAGAAAGCATATCCTTCTGATCAGAGAAAGATAAAACTTCTTTCAGAGACTGAGCTCTGTTCATAGGTTGGACAGTACAGTACACAACTGCCTATGTGAGTGATCTTTTGAGACTTTGGTATTCCTTTGAATAAACACTTCTCAAGCCATTGTCTCTGAGAAATAACTATTACTTAATCCCCTATCAATCACACCTATTCCCTTTTACAGTATCTTGCCTTCACAAATAAGAAGGGAGATTAAGTGAAATAGTTTGTAGTATTACTTCTATTTCACCCCAACAGTGACCTTATTCTAAAGCTTTTTGGCATTAGTAGTGCTTATTTTGATCATTCCATGTGAACTGGCTATGGAAAGGGATTGGAAAAATTGCTCCCCTTTAATCATTTTGTTAAACCAGGAGTTTTATAATTGTACACTGATAATATTAGACAATCACTAATTTAAAATGAAGACCAAAAGAGACTACAAAGTCAAAGGGAAGCCTGAATATCTACTTTTTTATAATGAAACAAGGCATGCCAACATGTTTTCATCTGTCACCATCAACTGACAGTTGAGATGACTTAAAATTCTATATTGAAAACCTAACAGAAATGATAATAGCATCTTAGCATAAACTTGAAAGAGTATTAAGCACACTGAAATATTTGGTATTTTTAGAAAGTATGCAATTGTACCATTATTAAAAATTAATATTCAGAATATTTATTTTATTATATTTATATAGCACCATAAGATAAAACAATTACATACATCACTTAAAATCATGTTTTTGGCTCATAATTAGCCTAGATTTATTACAAATTCACTTGAGTGGTAGCTACAGATAGTCACAAAGAATGATTCTGGCCTGTTTTGTGTGTGTGTGTGTGTATGTGTGTGTGTATGAAAATAATCTGAAAACCAATATAACTTTAAAAGGAATTAAGCCACAGTTAAGTGAAAATTATCCAGCAAAAGTAATACTAACATCTATTTATTTCAAAGTTCAACTGAACAATAAATTATGTCACAAAATTCTTTACATAAAATGCTAATACTACTGCCCACAAATCATAAATATAGCAGGTTTTTATTTATTTTACTACTCTCTTTTGGGGCTCATTGTGAAAAACTATTGCTTATAGAAAACAAAATCAACAATTTACCCAAACATTGTTACATAAGAAGTTTTAAGAAACTGTAAATAATTTTTAATACTTTCATTTTGATTCTCAGACTTTTCAAGACTATGTTGCATTTCTTTCAAACATACTTCTTGATGTTGTGCTTTCTAAATAAAAAAAAGAAATAAAATAATCAATAGCATTCATATTGAAATACAGTCATAATATACAATTTTGATATACAATGATAGGATACAATAAATTTTTAAAGAATCCTAACATCTTATTTGTTTGTTATTCACTTAGGGGTTCAAATTTTCTCTAAAATTCAGAGCACATACAGGTTTGATTTCTACTATGATATAATTTGTTCTGATACACATTCACTTAAACCCATATTATTACATATTTGACACAACTTACTTAATAAATGGGTTTTATTTAAAAATGTTATAATTATTTTCCATTACATGACATATTTTAATACTAGTTTTTGTCATTTCTTTGCTTAAAAATTCTTATTTTATACCATAAGGATGATTTTCGCTATTTTAAACATTGATAGAATTCCAGTTTTGAGAATATGAATATGGTATTTTATTTTTAGACTCCTTTAGAAAATGAAAAGAATTCTGAATAGTACAGGTGTTCTTTGAGGGAAAAATTAAAAATTCAATATAATTTTAAAAACATACAGTTTATATAGATTCCTAAGTAGATGTGTTCACTGAGAGTTTTAAACAGGCTACAAATACTATCTAGCTTCCAGCTAAAATGTAGGCCCTTAAGAAACCTTTCATTTTCTTCCTGTCAGGAGGAGTTCAATGAATGATACCTGATATCTTCTGAAACTGAGGAATGTCCCTCAGAGGAAGTGCTTAGAGGAAGTGGTAGGAAGCAACGTGCTAGGCTGGGAGACCCAGTCACAGAATGAATAAATTGAATCTTTGTGGAATATCAGTCTTACACTATAATGTGGAGGGAAAAACATAATATAAGCACACTTACACTGAAGTGTAGAATACAAAATGTGAATAGATTTTAGAGTAATATATAAAACTCCAAAGCCATTTCAAGTTTGAGGGAGGGTGTACGGAGTTTAGCTGTGGAGGTCACAACTGGGTCTCTGCATCCACTCTGCCCCCAACAGGAGCACTTGGGCAGAAAATCTGGAGGCTTGCTCCTGTGGGCAGAGCACTGTGGAAGACAGGGGTACAGAATCAAAATGTGGCCTCAGGGTGCTCAATTTATTTGGGGCTAGGGCATGTTTACTGGGACAGAAAACATAAACTCACTTTTCAGCAGTGCCTAAATCTATGCTTAGAATACTAGATTTTTTTTACTACTTTACTATTTTTATGGAAGTTATCAGGTTTAATAAAACATCAGATATTAAATTTATTTATTTGGGTGGTTTTAGACAAGTACTGGGAACATTATAGGAAAATCCACCTCATGTCAATATATGATGCTATTTTTTAAGAGACTGCAATTATATAAAGAATATCAGACATATTTTATGCTACCACAAATTCTGCTGGTGAATGGAGACAAAAGTTCAGGAATAAAAGGAAGGCCTGTGCTAAATTAAAAGTGATAAAAGTGTTGTTCTGATTAAATTGCAATGGAACTTTCAATGACAATCAAATTAAAATAATAATGCATTCCCAAAATCATTTAGCTTTTGAGCCTTTCATGTTTTCAACTTTTTAGACATTTGGGAATGACAAAAATAGTTTTCATGGAGTCTCCAGCTCCTGGAAGAAATAAAGTATCATGTTCTATGTCATTGTCAAATAGATAGTTTTCAAGCAAATTAATCATGACTAGTGAGTATTTCACGAATATTTAGGAAAAAACATTAGAGGACTAATTAAACAGTCAATTTGGTATTCTCATTTCATGGCTGGATGGATCAAGCATTCATCTTACATGCTGATAGAACAAGAGTGAGTATTTACTTAACACCAACTTAAAAAGTTTTTAAAATATAATGTTCATTATTCAAGAAAGATATCAAAATCTAACTCACACTAGTAGTTTAACTTGTGCTTATCTTAAAATGAGAAATTCGTACCAGAAAGAAAATAAGTAGGTTACATCTGTAACCTTCACTAAGCAGCTGTCAGGCAAAAAACAGTATGCAGGGAAGGGGCCTGATGACTCCTTGGGGGACATGTAATGAAAGCTGCAAGAATATAATTCCTTGGCATAATCCTGACATCCCTATTTTTAATTATTTATATTATTTGCTATTTTTGATGCTATCAGTGAAGAAAGAACCTTCATGCTCCTCATTTTGTACTTTAACCACTTAACTAAATAACATGGTAAGAATGCTAAATGCTAATTTATTTTTTAGGAAAACACATGAAGTCATATGAATACTTACACTATTCATTTTGCTAATAAGTTGATTTTGTTCTTCACTTCTCTTTCTAAGCTCAGTCTCCAGATCTAATATTTTAATTTGTAAAGCCCTATCTCTAGATGACATTTTCTCCATTTCTTCAGAAACCTGTAATTTTTATAAAAAGAGTAAAACAACTAAATGAGTTTTCTTCAAAATATTATTTAAAGCCTTGTCATGGTTATACTATCCCTCTTTTTTTCTAGAGCTCTTACTTACATGCTAGACAGTTGAATTAAAAAATGTTTAGTGATGCCTTTTTCTTATGGAAGCACATATAGTATAACTATAGTATGCAGATGTGAATATATGCATCTGTGTATACACTTTACAGTATCAATATCTGGAAGAGTTGTATATATCTTCTCTGCTCTGTGACTTAGGGAGGTATTTTCCTCAACACCATATATTTATAATACACTGAGACAAACTGGCATGCTTTATAGAATTTATATCTAAGGGTATCTAGAACAGTGGTAGAGCAGAGAAAGTTTTCATTTTGATTACATTCTCAGTGCTTATTATAGACTTCGACACACAGAATTGGGGGCAGGAAGGTGATATATACGCTACACACACACATCACAAGTGAGAATATGCACACAAGTGTTTTTGCTCACTTCCCAAGTGGTCTGAATTTAGTTGTTATATTTCTGATTGCTTATTTTAGCACAAAGTCTAGCTTGTGCTCATCCAAAGATTCAGATATGTGGGAGCTTTCTCTTGAATTATCCCCTCACCCCAGGGTTGAACAAACTACTCCTACCAGTGTACCTTGCACCCTCCATCCTATTTATAGAATGCACATTCTGGATAACATTTTTTTGTTCACATGTTATCTCCTTGTAGGAATGTGAGTATTGAAGCCATGTCTTACTTATCTTAGCATCTCAAGCAGTGCCTGACACAATGAGATATTTACTAAAGGCTAACTAAATGGACTCAAATGTGATTTAGTTGTTGCATGTACTCATGCAACAATATTTGGCAAAAAAGGGAACTGAGCTTCACAGCTCACTGATCCTCATCAAAACTACAACATTCAATAGATTTTACATTTTTTTAAACATTGTACAGAAATGAAAAATGATGTAAAAATATATAAATATATATCTTTTTTAAAGATTTATTTATTTATTTATACAAGCACTGGGTACAGTCAGAAGCATGGAAGGGTGAGAGAATTCACCAGAGCCAGAGCAGGGAACAGAACAGGCAGACTGATGAAATACACTGCTGAGGGGAGCAGTGGGCGTGGCAGAAGAGATATGTTGCGCCATGTGGGACCCTTGCTGGCGGCAGGGGATCAAACCGGCGCTGCAGAGGCTGCGGGCAGCTTCGCAGCCCAGCGCTCAACCGCTGCGCCATCAGGGGAGGCCCAGATGTAAAAAATATATTGAAAAAAATTGAAAAAAAAAGGAGGGAGAAATTCCTTGAAAGCATTTCCCATCTCTACCTTTTCCCATGCCACACCATCATTTTCCCTAGTAAAGTAACTGGATCAATAATATATCTATTTAGCTCCAAAAAGGAAAAGTAGGTAAAGAACAAAAATGTAACTGTTCTCTTTACACTGTCATCAGGATAAAACTTATAACTGAAGATTTGGCAAGATGAGATAGTGTCAGTTTAAAAAGATATCTCCTTGGTAAACTAATTAAAACGTTTCTAAATAAAGCCCATCTGTACCTTTTGTCTTCCTTCTTCCAAAGCAGCTTCCAGTTGTCTGGTCAATGCTGTATATTCTGCAGATTTCTCTTTAAACTTAAGATTGCTGTGCTTAAGACATTCTTCTTGGTTTGCCAGTTTCTTTTCAAGTTCTTTATTCTCTGCATCCATCTGTTCTAATTTTCTTTTTACAGGAAACATATATTTTAAAATTAGAGTGTGTAGACAAAAATGCAACACTAGTTTTAAGTCAATTTAATACTTACTGTTTAAGGTTTTCACACTTCAACTGAATAAGATAATTTTCCTCTTCCAGAGAAAGCTTTGTCATAAGGCTGTGATTCCCATCAACCTAAGAAACAAAAGAGTTTTCTTACTTTAATTTCTTGTTCATTTTTTCTTTCTTAATTTTTCTATAGATTCTAAGGAAATCTATCTGCTTTATTGTAGAATAACCATAAAAAAGAATGTATGACGGGCCTCCCTGGTGGTGCAGGGGTTAAAGACACAGCACTATCTAGCTATCTCCAGCCACTGCAGCAAGAGTTTGACCCCCATCTGGCCAGGGAGCTACCCACATGGCACAGCAGACCTCTCCTGTCTTGCCCGCTTCTCCTCTCAGCAGTATATTTCAGTAGATCTGCCTGTCCTGCTCCCCACTCTGGTGAATCTTCTCACCCCTGTCCCCCACACCTCTGGCTTACACCCCAGTTCTTGTGTGCATAAATAAATCTTTTTTTAAAAAGATGGTATGAATATTAGTATCATTCTTATACAAAGAGACACCAAGAAACATTATATCGTTAAAACATAAAGTCTTAAGTCCCTGATTAAGTATAAAAATATTTATGTTACTTCATGGAAAATCTACTACTGAAAAATTTTCTGAATGATGCCAATTAAACCATTCTGAATAATACGTATTGAAGAAGGACATTCATTTTACTAAATAAATGTCAAAATTTTAAACTATCTTTTTTTTTTTAAATATTTATTTATACAAGCACTCAGGTATAGGCCAGAGGCACGGGAGGGTCAAAGGATTCACCAGAGACAGAGCAGGGAGCAGAACAGGCAGAAGGACAGAAGTATACTGCTGAAGGGAGCAGCAGGGAGACAGAAGTCTGCTGCGCCATGTGGGAATCTCCCTGGCCGGCCAGGAATTGAACCGGCGTTGCAGAGGCTGTGGACAGCTTCACAGAGCTGTGCTCAACCTGCTGCGCCACCAGGGAGGCCCTAGATTTTAAACTGTTTTAATTTCCTATTATGGATCTTTACGGTTATTCATAGTTTTCTCTTTCACCTAAGACAGTGATTGATAATTGAATATGTGTGAAGTTGTAACTAGGAGTAAAACCCAGTGATTGCGAGAAGTAAAGTAAAAAAGCAAATCAACCAAAGATCCACTTGCCATGTCAAAACAGAGTATTTTTCGCATTGCTTCAAAATTATCTTTAAATAGTTGAAAAAGCTTTGAGAAGAAAATTAAAAAAATTCATGACAACTAGCAATCTAGATTATCTACATAATTTGACATTTTCTAGAAAAATTTCTTCTCAGGAATCTAAAGTTATCAAAGTTTTGCTTACATGTTTTTAAAATGGTACATTTCAAAATTAAAATCCAAATTACATTTGGAAAAGAGATATGGAATCATTTCTAGAATTATTTTGCAAATAAAGAAACAAATCTCCCTGGACATTCTTCTTTGAAAAAAAAAATCAATTCAAAAATATTTACTAAGTGCTTACTATGTGCTAGGCATTGAATAAAGTGATTACAGGGGACACATGAGCCCTATTCTGGTGGAGTAAAAAATGTATATAATGAAAATTTTAATCATGAAAAACCCAAATAACCTTCATGCACAATTCAAGTTAAAAGAAATGTCTAATTTTTGTAAGGTAAATTATAATAATTATCTTATCCTGACATCAAAAAAATATAAACAGTATTGTTCGTTTCTTCTCTTATACCACTAACATATCATCAAACTAACTGCAATTTTAATCATGAATTTTTCACTGTAAAATAGTAAAAGAAAAGCTTGTAAAATAATATCATAGAAGGAAATTGATATTTGATCAATTGATTTACATGGGAATAAAAAAAAAAAGCAACCCCTGACATGAGTGCCCTCAACTGGTGAAAGCATTCCAAAGCGTTTAACATATCTAGCAAAAATCAGAACAAGAGCAGAACACCTGGCCCTGAAGCTCCCTAATGGTGTGCGCCTGGTCTCTACATTTCCCCCGGCAAAGCTGCAGACTCTCCTGACACTCCTGAAGCCTCTGCTCAGCCGCCATCAAGGAATCGCGGACATGCTCTAACTCCTTCATTTGAGATTCCATCTGGCCTCTCATCTGAGTTGTAGCATTAGGGAAATAAATGCAAGAGCAAATATTCAGCATTTATATCTTTATGATCTTGAGTACCAGATAACTGTATTATAAATATTTTAGGTATAATAGTCTTAAATAATAGATTCAAGAAATATATAAACATTAACTTAGACTCTAACTAAGAATATAGCTCAAAAGTGGGTTAGACCTTAATAGTTTTCAAAGTTTGTTGAGCAAGTAAATACAGTCAAAAAGCTTGCAGGAAGAATGTTCACCTATTTAGAAAAATGAACTTTTTGAATCTTGTCAAAGTATAAATATTACTGATAAAGCTGGTATGTAGTTTTCTAGTTTCCAGCCATTAGTTCTAAAGTAATTGCTACTATTCTAGTCATTCAATTCTATAGCTCAGATATATTTAAATTAGGGCAGCCTTACTTCACTCAGTCCACAGTGGTGGGGTTTACAGTATATTGTTACTGTATATTACACTGTATATTATTTCAAGCTAGTTAATATCAGTCCTCAGTAGACTATAAAATGTTACTATAAACAAATCTAAATGTATCTATATAAATCTTTGTGACTGTGGCAGTTCTTCACTGTGGCTCTTTTATAAAGCTATCTTAAGAAATTCTTGTGCTGTTAATTAAGAAAAAGTAACCAGACTGAATGACCTTTAGGATATCAGGGAGGAAAAACTCAAGTTTGGCTCCTCGCATGAGAGAGAGGGAACACCTAAGGGTTCTGTGCAACATCTGGCATTCTTGAGCACAAAGGACAAAACTAGAACAGAGCATGCCTCTCGGTATTCAGGCATGGAAGAGCTCATGAGAAAACCAGGAGACTTAAAACAGCAGAAAAGGAAAAAGAAAATGTTCATTAAAAAAAAAAGACTTTCCTGATTTAATACCAGTAAGAAGCACTGTGACCTCACAGCATATTAAAAACACAGGCTCTTGCCCCGACTGCCTGTTGAGCAGTTTTTTAATAGACTTTTATTCATAGTGTTGCCTTGCAGAAAATATTTGCACTGGTGTGTCTCAGAGTAAAAGAGTACAAAAGACATGGAATGATTTTGTCTCCAGTCTGCTAAAAATAGGTGAAAAGCGGTTCTAAGAAAGGAGTAAGTTACACACTTGGTGGGCTATCTTCGTCTCTGTTGAGCCCGCAGAATGCCTATACTCACTGACCCCCTCTTCACATTGGGTCTCACTCTGGCCTCTCAACCCCAAGATATAGGACAACTCCATTTTCCAATCTAAACATAGCTAGTCACCTTCTTATCAGTTGGAACTGACCAGTAACATCCCATGACCTCCCCAAGTTGCAAATGAGTATCCTGACTTTCACTGTTTCCTTACCAAAGTAATATGAAAAGACCCAGAAAAGGATGCGGTTTCATTTAAAAATATTCACAAAAACATCCTAACTTGCCAACACTGGCCTTCCTCTCTTTCTGTTGCAACAGGGTGAATAAAAGGAAATGATGCTGGGTTTTTCTAAATGGTATTATTTGTCTTCCAAAAAGGCATTTAGCAGAGGATACTTATTTTGCATTTTTAGATATAGAGATCTATTACAAGAAAAAAAAAGGGGGAGATTAAAAATAAGAGGTATTCCAGCTTGCATACTGATGGATGATGAAGTTCAGTGGTAAATAACCATACTTGCATGCTAGTTAAGTCAGTCTAATATTGGAAAAATTTCATACTATTTTCCAAATAGTAAGGAAAAAGTGAAAAAACATTCACACAAACATTTCAAGCCTGTAAGAAACATTATTTCCTCAGAAAACAAACTCCTAAAAAGACTGAGAACAGATATCCTAGCTATAATCTAGAGAAAATGAGCAAAATGAAAGAATTTGTATATTCACAAAGTACAAAACACATAAATAAATTATTGTTATTATTTAAAATTTCAAAATTACCTTCTCGATTTTTTTACTTTTGTCTTTTGTTATTAGCTTATTTTCACATAGCAAATTTTCACATCCGCTTTTCACAATTTCAGCTGCTGCTTGTAACTTTTGTATCTGAAAATAGATAAGAGTAACTTGTATGATTTTACTACTAGGACCAGAATACAATAAAAAGCTGAAATTTGAAAATTTATTATTAAACAAATCATTGTTTTCCTATTGTTATGCTCAGTACACTTACCTAATATTATTCCTGCTTTAAATCTGTGTATCATTCAATGATCTAATCTAATCCATAATCCTTGCACAATTTATCTATCTTTCCTCACCAATACTTCCAGATTTTCACTAAAATCTAAAGGTGATAGTTTCATTTGCAGGTCAAAAATCACTGTAAAAAATCTGCCTCCAATTCAATTCCAATTATTATACCATTCCAATTATTTTATCCTCTAAATCAGAGGATAAAATAGCTGTGCATTTTATACAGGGCTCAGAGCACAGAATATAGTAACTCACACACTCTACTCCTGCTGAGAGATTAAACTTGAACAGCCAGCTGGAAGGCCCAGATGACACTGTCAATGACAACTCCCATAAGCCTCTCTCACCTCCGGATGACTATAAAAGTCTAACTGCATGTCTCCACTTCAATTTCCTGTTGGAAACATAAGATGCAGCCCCTTCCTACTTACCTACATTCTGCCCCCATTTAGGTATTACCCTTAGTTTATTCTTTAATTCAATAAACCAAGCTCTTTATTGACCAATTTATTACCCATCACTCAAGGACCTGCCTAAATCCCATCTTTCTCATGAAGTTTTTCTTGAACACTAAATTTCTAAAACATAAGCTTTTCCATAAATTACTGCTGAACACACACTCTATTCCTTATAATAGCCCTGTGTTTATCTCCAGGTCTTTAATGTAAGTAAGTCTGAATTATACTTTATATATTGAGAAAGAAGAGATACTGGGCTTTAATGACTTCAGTAGGGAGTCATTACTCTAAATCAACACCACGAGTATACAAGATGAAAAGTATAATCAAGAACAACAAGATTAAACCTTATATAAGTTTTACATTATACATATGTAATTGATTATAGATCTGCTTTTAGGAATATCTAATACCTATGAGGACAGGCAATGTTTGAATCAGAGTCAGCAGAATCATCTACTTAAAAGGTATTTGGGACCTGAAGAAATAGTTGGGACATGTATAGCTAAAGTAGTCATATAGCTACAATAACAGTTCCACCATTTTTAGTTCTGCCAATTTGAATTATAAACAAATGCAGTTTTAAAATTGTCTAAAAATTTAATAAACATTAAATAAAGACAATAGTCACCTGCATTTTATACACTTCAATAAGGGCTTTCTGTTGTTTTTCTACTTCTTGCAATTCTAATAGCTCATTTTCAACAGAAATAATCTCGTCCTTCAAAGCAGCAAGTGTAGTCTAAGAAGGAATACACAGATTTTATAAATCATTAGAATTCATTTGTATTATAGTGGTATGGGGTTATAGAAATAAAACTATCAACAGAGTTAACAAAATAGTTATTTTTGATTGTATACAATTACCAATTAAAATGAATAACCTTAATTAGATTCATGTAATACACATTCTTACAACTTTAAAAATTTACTAATCAAAAATGACTTGGAAAATGATCCTGGATGCAAAGACTCAATACTATTGAAACAACAGGCTTCCCCCCCAATCCTATTTTTAAAAAATTATGTTTATTAGGATATTGTGGGTTTCCAATACTGAATTTGTTTTAAAAGTATATTAACACACCATTCACACCTCTGTAAATGTATATTAACACACCATGCTTACCATCAAAGCCCCAGTATGACATAACAGTTTTTCCAAATCAATAAACTCACATGCATTTCAATCAAAAGTTGGGGGAAGAAGGAATATGAAAAATTAATTTAAAATTCATATGAAAAAATAAATAGCAAACACTAATAAAATTTTTAAAGGAATACTAAGAGAATCTCTTTTAGCCATTGCAATCAATCTTATTAGATATTAGAACATCTCATTAGATACTAAAGTATATTTAATATATAAAGAAAATTACTCACTATGATATTAACATAAAACATAGAGGTCAATGGAATTAAAAAGAAAAATACAATAAAATTTTATCTAGTATATGACAAAGATTACATTTTAAATAAATGGGGAACATATGATCACTAAACAAATGGCAAGGAGACAACTGTTAGGAAAAAAATAGATTAAGTATTTGTGTCCATCCAACACTATTTTTCCTATTTTTAAAATACAAAATAATAAAGCTTTAACATTTTCACAAAAGATCAAAGTAAAATGTTATTTGATTTAGAACAGCAACAACCCTACTAAACATAAAATCAAAAGAAGATATTGAGAATTATAAGGGCATGAGATCTTATCCTCCAAGTTTATGAGTCAGCCTAGTACAGTTTCATGGATACTACAATAGACACAAGACTTCATTACTCACAAGAGCAGTAGCCAGATATTGGCATTTGTGATAGTTTCCTGAGCCCCAGTTCCCATAGGGGTGATACAAGGGTCTGATGACACTTGCCTATTCAGTGAGATGCACTACACAGCAGCAACACTGAGTTTAGGGAACCCAACATGTAGGGATGGAAGCATGCCTCCCCTCTGGTAGAAGGAAACATGGCTATCTTCCAAGGATGTTCAGTAAACATCACCCTTGAAAAGAGAATCTAGATCGATCACAGATTCACAAGATGTTCCGAAATGTGAGCCATCCCCTACACAAGCCATAAAAGAATAAAATATGCATATGCATACACACACACAATTTGACAGTCCCGTCAAAAATTTACAGGCAAACAAAATATGAAAAAAGCTACAATTATGACAAAATATCAATAATCTTAATCTATAGATTTCTTAATAGACATATAAAGGATAATGAGTATATAATTAAAAAAGGCAGAAATGTAAATGATCAATGAATACATGAAAAAATGTTTACTGGTTATTAGAAAATGCCCTAGGCACTGAGCCAAAAATCCCTCCCTTCACGGTGTTTACACATTCCATGTATAGACAGACAAAAACAAGGGGTAGACAGGCAAAAACCAAGAATTAACAGTAAAGATCGATCATACACAAACACAGGATGAGAGAGATGTACTGGAGATAACAGTCTCCTGAAAAAGGGACTTTTAAGCAAACAACAAAAGGAAGTGTGGCTCTTTGAGGGATAAAGGTCCCTTAGAGAAAAACATTTTGGAGATGGTCTGGCCAATGAGAGGAAAGTGCAAGAATACCAGGACTGCAAGAATAGGGAAAAGATAAGGGAAAATGTAGAGGAGGATGAGGTTAGAGAAGAAATAGAAAAAAGCCAGATGGTGCGGTGTTCACTTTATTAACCAAGGTATCATTTGAGCAGAGCAGTGACATGTCTGACGTAGGCTGTGTAGATCTGTTCTACTGCTCCAGTGAATGCTGAGTGCTGGGGTAAGGGCAGAGCAAAGAGTTAGGAAGCCACTGTGATATTGAGTGATGACAGTAGCTTAAAACCAAGGTAACAGCAGTGCTGGTGCGAAGTAGTGAAATTCTGGCTATATCTGAAGTACATGTGTTGACAGATTGTAAGTGGGTGTGAGAGAAAGGGATCAAGAATGACACCAAGTAATGGAAAGGATGACTGCCACTGGCTGAGATGAGAAAGACTGTAAGATGCATTATTTGTTGGTAACACAGGAGCTCCATTTCTATATAACTTTGAGACAGCTATTAAATATCTAAGTGCAGGTATCAAGTAGAGAGTAGAAATAATCATGGAATTCAGGGGCATGTTTTAGGGTAGAGAAATAAATTTGAGAGTCCTCAGGATAGAGATGGCATATAAAGTGCCAACACTAGATGAGATCACCTGTCAAATCTGAAGAGATTTGTTTTAAAATTGCCTAGTACTGAAAAAATCATAGGGACCCATTTATGATGGGTAATTAAGAAATATAAAACACCAACATTAAAAATAAGCTTCCCTTTTGATTATATAAATCCATTTCTAGAAACATCCTAAAAAACCAGAAATACAAAAAATCCCCTCAAATTACCCACATTTTGATTTATAATGGCAAAACACTGGAAGTATCCCAAAATCCAAAAATTATATATATATGCTAAAACTTAATTGTTCAGCTGCGAGAGTACAGATGAATTTTTACTTTTCTTTCAGGCCTTTTTGTTTTTCCAACTTTCTGTAATAAAAAAAGAACTTTATATATATATATATATAAACATATTATTTTTAATAGAAGAGGCCACTGGACCATGGAAACAATTATCAACTTTTTTTTTTATCATTTGAAACTTTAGACTTTAAAATTTCTCTAGAATAATTAAAAGTAACAAATACAGTATCTAGGTGATTTTATAAATAACATGATTTAAAAAATAACATCCCAAAAATCCCTAATTTTTTTTCTTAAACAAAATCCAGAGAATAATGCATAAATATGCATGCTTCTGGATTAAGACATATGACAAATTTTAACTCAATATTATTTATTGTCTACATAATTTAAAATTAATTCCACTATGGGGTGATTAAAAACTATAGTCAGTAAAATATCATTCTAATCACTTTTCTTGGCAGGAGATCAAGGAAATTAATAAAATAAGCTTGCATCCCAGATATAATACATATTTATTCAACATATTTATTAAGAGCTACATATATGTCATAGCTTTTTTCCTCTCCTAGCTATCCTTTGCATGCAAAGATGGTAGTTTATAAGAAGAGTTTTGTCCTAATAAGGTTTTGGAGAGAAGAATCATTTTGAACTGAACTTTAAACAAAAAAAAAAAAAAGGTAAATAGTGAGAAAAATAGCATTCCAAACTATAAGCATAGTAAAATTATAGGACTGGAAACTGGAAAACATGAATAAACCGCAGGAAAGAATGAGTGACCATATTTGCTTGGAGCTTAGGATAATACATGCCCACACCCCCTAGTCTCCCTTGCTGATAGGTGGAGCCATGTGCCTAAATAAGCAGATGTGTCAACTGGTATGGGATTCTCTCTAAAGGGGAAGAAATGACAAAAAGTGAAATAATGCATCTTTTCACCCTCTGTTCTGTTGTTTGAAACTTGGTTATAATGGCTGGAGCTCCAGCAGCTATTTTGGATTATGAGAATGAGGGTCACAACCTAGGAATGAAAGATGAAGGGGCAAGCTAAAAAAAAAATCTCAAGTTCTTTGATACCATATAAACTTTGAACTGCCAACTCCAATCTTCTTTCACATAAATGTTCTTTTCCATTCTCTATTTTCTATCTTCTAAAAATAATACTATGGACTAAAAATGGTGCCATCATCTTCAGTCAAGTGTCATTTTATTACATGTATCTCTGATTGATTGAGGGCTCAAGCATCTATTTTTTCCAGAAAATATAAAAACTTCTCCCCACCTTTTCTCTGGCACACACATAAACTTATCACCCCTTGGATTGATTAAGTTGGAAAATTCTTTCTGGTTATGATGCAGCCAAGAACATACTTTCTGGTTTCAAACAGACCAAGCCTGAGGTCATATCCTATCGTAACCATGACACCTAGAAGTAATCTTATGCATTAAAAGTTAATATAATTTCAGATGATTCACTTAACTGTTAAAATTGAATAGTAAATGAATTTATTTTTAAGTTGAGACAAGGAGACAGTTACTCAACATCTTAAATTTTATTTAATACTGCTCTAAACAATTTTAACATAATATCTGTGTATACAGTATAAATTTTAAAATATATATAAATATATGTGTATATAAAGATAGTTTTAGAAGTTAACTATTATAATGGTACTTTAATACTCTAAGAAGTATAAATGATAAAATGATAAAAAAAAGCATAGTTCTAAACATGCTACTATTTGAAGCTACATCTAAGTAGAATAATACACACACACACACACACACACACATTACCTTCAATTTTGAATTCTCAAGACTCAGAGTTTCATTTTCATATTCAATTGAGTGAAGTTTTATAAGAATTTCTTCACATGAATTTTTTCCACGCTCTTCCATTTTCCTCAAGTCTTCCAAAAGATTAGTGATTTGCCTTTTAAAAATATTATATGAAAGTCATAGAAATTTTTATTCAAAGACTACATTTTAAGTGTTCCCAAGAACACTGTAGTAGAGTGCATAGTTTTAAAAGATAACAGAAGTTATAGAATAAGAGAAATAGAAAGCACTAATTTGTAAGGTTATTGCTTGAGCAATCCTTTTGTAGTAATAATTATCCATTGATGATGACAATGAAAAGAAATCACAACATTAGCTTTGCTGTTCAATAAAATATCTAAACTACCATCCACAGGTACTATGTTTCTCACTGTCATTCACATATGTGCACACACAAAATTTCAAGGGCATGGTTAACCACACGTATCAAGTGAGGCAATATTTAGAAGTAAATTATATGCTTATTGTCAATAACAAAACTGAAGAGAATATACAGAAGGTAAAATATTTAAAAGCAAAGAGTCGACATTCACTATTGTTAGCTTATGAATACTGTATTTCAAAGCATAAAATATGTGATTTTTTAAAATTTTCTTTGTTATGCAATAAAGGTACTTCAATAAAGGAACACTAAATTTTAGGATTTTGAAAGCATTTATGCTTTTATTATAAACTTTGTTATCTATTCTTATACATTCTGGTTTAGCAGAGAAATATCATTTCCATTTTAACATAAAGTAGTATTAACATTTACTACAAATAATAGGTGACACGTATTCAAATACCAAGTACTATTACAAAAGCCCCAAATGATAATACCAATATAATTTTAATGCATAATTATTTTTGTTGTATTCTTATACTACAGTGAGAAAAGTTTATAAAATTATAAGTAACAAAAATATCAAGTTATAAAGATGACACCTTTAACACATCTAATCCAGAAGAACCAAAATATAAATCACTCAAAGAGAAAAAACTGGAAACACTTCTTACAAAAAGCAAAACATCTAAGTTTTTTTTTCTTACTTTTTCATTGTTTCAATCTGAACTTCCAATTCAGTTTTTTCTATTGCCATTTTCTCATAATGACTTTTCCAGGCATTGGATGCTGAAATTGTTTCAGACAACTTGGCTTCCTAAAAATACAATAAGTACTCATCTTGTAATTTAATAACACTTTGGTTTTGCTGAGGGTCTTAAACAAAAGTATCTTTTAAACAAGGATACGCATCCTATAAAGATTAGAACTTAGATTACAGAAACTTTCAGCTACAAATCTGCATGTAGGGAAGTTTTAAAGTAAACATTAATAAGATCTTTAGATCACTATTTTATATGCACATAGTATCAGTCCCAACCTAACATTTTAATGTTGATGTAACTATTTTCAAACAATGTTTCATACAAATGAATATAAATGCCTTCCCATTTACTGAACTTCTCACCTTCCAGAGAGAGGATGATAAAAACCAGATCAGCATCAGAGGATAAAGAAGTCCTCTATGGCATATATAAAAATTACCTTTAATTCCACAATTCCAGAGTATTTAATAAAGTACCCTTATTCATTTTTGTTATAAGGATGCCAATCAGTTTTATAGCATCACCCCTGTCAACCTTCAAACAATTATTGTCAGCAAATAGATGGAAGTGGAAGTGGCAGCTTATCCTCTTTGCAATTTTTAAAAATTTTTTTCATAGAAGAGCTGGGGTGTAGGCCAGAGGGGCTGAAGGTGAGAGGATTCACCAGAAAGAGTGGGGAGCAGAACAGGCAGATCTACTGAAACACACTGCTGAGGGAGCAGCGGGCAAGATGGGAGAGGTCTGCTGTACCATATGTGGGTTAGCTTCCTAGTCGGGGATCAAACTCAGGCAGAAGAGGTGATAGTACTGAGACTTAACCCCTAGGCCACCAGGGAGGCCATTATCTACTTTGAATGTGAGCTCCAAGAGGCAAAGATTTTTGTCTGTTTTGTTCATGACCAGGGTTTTGAGTAGCAGCTGGCATATGGCAGAACTCAAACCTTAATTGTCAAATAAATCTATTCTTCACAAACCTATTTAATAAGTTGTAGCCATTGTGTTGTCTGTCTACATACTACAGGAAAACAAACTCACTGGAATGGCAATGCCAATAATTATTAACCAAAAGGCCCAGACCAGTAATAACAGAGTTAACATATAATGTGTGCTTTCTTCTTTCTGACATTCACTTAGCTGGTATTTATTGAGCATCTACTAAATAATATAATATAATAAAAAATATATATAATAAAATAGATAATAGAAATAGTTAATAAAAATATATTTTTTTTTTTTTCTCACAGTAGTGTTTCTGATATATTGAAGACGTATATTCTGTTCTAATATTTATGTAAAATGAATTGCAATTAAAATCTAAGTGTGATAACTTAGCTCTACAAACTATAATAGACCCAGAACCCAAAACATATCAGACTAATATCTGAAGTTCTTCTTCTTTCACCTTCTAACCTTCATCTTAAATGCTGTAACTCACCCAACCCTGCTGTGTCAGAGTTATTAACCCCTCACAATGACTTACACACCATTAAAAAGCCCAGATTTGATACTCTTTATTGATGGATCAAATGGTAAGAAATCAGAGGGACATATCAAGCAGGATATACTGTAACAGCACAATATGAACTCTCAGAAAGGGGACTCCTCCAATTTAAGTCTGCCCAATCAGCAGAACTACATGACCTCACTCAGGCTTGTCAGCTATCCAAAGGAAAACCAATAAACATTCATACTGACAGCAGATATGCCCTTGGGATGGTCCATGATTTGGGTATGCTATGGACACAGAAAGGATTCCTCATTTCTAGGAACTCCAATCAAAAATAGGCAAGAGATAAATAAACTGCTCTTTGCCATTCCATTGCCTAACCAAATTACAATTATTAAAAAAATGAAGCTCATGCTAGAAAAACAGAACCTGAGCATCAGGTAAATGCTCTAGTAGACTTCCTTGGAATCAGCCAGTACTAAAACTATTCCACTATGCAACCTGAATGAAGTCCCTAAGAGTGTATAATCAAATTATTTATGAAAATTTATATAAAAGACAAAATCAGGCACCTGAGCTGTAGCACCAATGTTGGTAACAATAAGGATGCAAACTTAATATCAAATGAGGACTCACTGAGGTTCTTCCTGAGTCCTTAAAAATGCAACTTCCTAAGAGCTCTAAAAGTTCTGCAAATCATCATGGTACAAATAAAATGATCCAAATTATGAAAAAAGTCTTAGTGGGGTGATTGCTCCAAGGCTGCAAAATTGGTTTACAACCAATGCCTGATTTGTCAAGCCCATAGCCCTAAAAAGACCACTATCATCATAGACGGAGCAGTCCCACCACCTACTGGATCATTTGAACATTTGCAAATGAATTTCATTCAACTGCCTCCCATGATGAGTTATCAATATGTTCTTAAAATTGTTTGTATGTTCTCAGAGTGGACTGACGCCCTCCATGTAGGAGGGCTGATGCCAAAACCATGTCAAACTTTCAGAAAATATATTTTGTTTATGGGGTAGCACCAGAGAAATTGCCAGTGACTGAGGAACTCCTTTTAATCAGACAAATAATTAAACAATCAAGGTGATTCTTAATACTCTCAGACACCTGGTAAAGTCAGATGGACAAATGTAACTTAAAACTAAAGTTAACTAAATTAACAGAATCAACTAGACCATCCTGGCCCAAAATTCTGCTACTGATTTTGATCAACAACTACAGGAAAGTATAAATTAATGTATAAATTAAAATAGTACGAGGAAGAACTATATGTTTAATAATAGAGCCACATGTATCTACTATATTTTTGACTTCTTTTTTTTTAAAAGATTTATTTATTTATGCATACAAGAACTGGGGTACAGGCCAAACATGTGAGGGGTGAGAGGATCTACCAGAGACAGAGTGGGGAACAGAACAGGCAGACTGACTGAAATACACTGCTGAGGGGAGCAGCGGGCAAGATAGGAGAGGTCTACCTCACCATGTGGGTTTCTACCTGGCCAGGGATCAAACACGTGCTGCAGAGGCTGTGGATTGCTTCATAGTGCAGTGCTTAACCCCTTGCACAACCAGGGAGGCCCTACTTTTGAGTTCTAATATGACTCAATATTGTACAGCTTCAATGCATTACACCAAGTGTATTTGCACCAGATCAAGGAAGCTTTCCATGACCCTTTTACAGATGGAAAAACCTTACATAACTTAGAACCTAAAGAGTGGTCTTCTGGAAACAACACCTAGGAAAAACTGCCCTTGAACCTCTTTTGAAAGGACCAAACCAGCTTCTCCCCTGGAAGGGAGAGAAACTGTTTGGCCACTGCCAAACTTCTCAGACATGAACCACTGCCACTGCCAAACTTCTCAGACATGAACCTTGGGTAGAAAGAAAAGATTCTTTAAGCAGCATACCAGAAGGATAAGTAAAGTTATAATTGACCAGGGAGGTTCCTCCCCAGAAGTAGATAACATCCTGAGGCAGACGGCTCTCCTAATAGCATGGATCTGTATATCCAATGTGAAATCTTTTTTTTTAAGATTTATTTTTATTTATTTATCTATACAAGAACTGGGGTGAAGTCCAGAAGTGTGGAGGGTGAGAACATTCACCAGAGAGAGTGGGGAGCAGAACAGGCAGATGTACTGAAATACACTGCTGAGGGGAGCAGCAGGTGAGACAGGAGAGGTCTGCTGTGCCATGTGGGTAGCTCCCTGGCTGGCCGGGATTGAACTATTGCTGCAGTGGCTGTCGATAGCTTGATAGCACTGAGACTTTAACCCCTGTGCCACCAAGGAAGCCCCTCCAATGTGAAACCTTTTCCCTTTTATCTATTTGCTGTTTGCTTTTTCTCTCTATTGATGCCTGGGAAGACAGCACTACAATTAGGATTTCACAAATAACAGCTACTGTAGGAAATTTAATAGGTTTGTTACGCTAAAGCAAAATCAGAACATGAACACAGGGAAACCCTAAAAGTAATTTCACTGGAATCCCATTGTATGCCTGCATTGTTGCACTATATAAAGTTTAAATACTACATCCACATACCCTTGTTTCTTGCTTCAATTAAACCCAACCCTGGGATGAGAAAACTAGATCCAATGAGAACATATATAAAAGACACTGCGGCCAACTATACATGAGCTCATTTGTAAGCTGCTAGATAGCCTTTCAATGTGATACCATAACATTTGGGCCTTGGTTGAATGATACCAATACCTTCATAATGACCAATGGGCCCCATACTAATACTTAAGAGTAAGCCCTATGTATTCCTTCTGCCAACATCTTTGTATGCGGAGGGTTTGGCAACAGTCCCTATTCTTGGGTCACTCATTGTCTTGACAGCTGAAGGATGAAAGAACAATGTATTCTGGGTGTATTTACTGATCCATTGTCTCTTCATAATACCTCATAAACTCAACATTGACTTACTCCCTTAAATTTATATAATGGACCAAAAAGAAGCTTACTAGCAGATATCTATATCTGGATGGGTATCATTTGAATTGTCCCTTCCTTGGTTTGGAGTTAGTACAAAATAAGCATATAATTAGAAAGTTATCCTTAACTCTGGCAACTATTGCTGAGACAACTATTAAGCCCATGGCTATAAAACACAAGTCCCCAGACTCTTGCTGGTTTTAGACTACTCGCTGGCTGAATAAGGAATCTGTGTCATAGCAAATACCCCCTCCTGTACCTTGATAAATACCTCTGGTATTGGAGAAACGCAAATACCAGAAATTAATAAAAAGCTACTTGCCTAAAACAGATTGATACCTCACCAGGGATTTTTATTTTATTTGTTTGATACCAATTGGTTTGACTCATGGGGACCCTGACTGAGTACCCTTCAGTTACTTAGTATTACACTTCTAATAGTCATTATTATAATTTCCCTGGTATGCTATGCTACCTCAAAGTTCTAAATGCATGTTTGCAGCCATCAACTGCAGATGTGATGGGTTCACCACACTTAGAGAAACAGAAACAAGATAAACAATGAAATAAACAGCAAACAAAATTTTTCCACAAATCTGACATCAAAACCTATGAGTTTCATGATAAGATAAGAGCGCTTGAACTTTTCAGTAACTAGAGTGGCAGTAGTATCAAATTTTTGGAAATCTCTCATATACAAAAAGGATGACCCAGACGGGGAAGTTGTTAATTATACAAGGACGCCATTAGTTGAGATGGCTCTAAGACCACAGCACGTTCTAAGCAAACCCAAATCTAAGCCTGTACATACCTCAAGGATACAAAAGTGAAACCTAAGGACAACTAATCAGCTACTTTGCTTACACTTTTTAATGCCCTTGTCTTTATTTTGAAAGATTACCTAAAATGTCAAATATGCATATTGAATTATATCAGCATTTCCTTGGGAACTTTCCTTACTTTGCTCCAGCCTTTCTCCATAAAGATCTTCCCAGCTTCCATGGAGGGGGGTGCTTCTTACTATTGTTGATATGGTGCTGCCTGATTTGAATCAATTTTTACTCACATAAATTCCTAAAATTTTAATAGGCCTCATTTTATCTTTTAGCAGAGTACTTTAAAAGGCATAGTCAAGAAAGGCCTTTCTAAAGAGATAAAAAAATTAAAAAGATACCGGAATGGTTTCAAAAGCAACAAAGAACCCACCACAGTGAGCCAGAGAAGACAATTACAGCCAGAGGCAAAGTAAACCAAACAAAGACAAATTCCATGCAACAGAGGAATAGAAAGAGGTCAATATGGAAAAATGCAGCATGGCCAGGAACTGTGCTCTGACATATTTTTTTAATTTACGTACAAGCCTGCATCCACACTGAGAGAGACAATATGCTACCCTTATTTTATAGATAAGCTTAGAAAGAAAAGTAGATAAGCTTAGGAAGGTTAAATACCTTAACCAAAGTCATAAGTTTAGTTAGTGCAGTAGCCTTCCTATACAATCCCAAGAATGCTAAGGACCCAATTATATAGTTTTTACCACTTAATATTTTCCAGCATTTAACCAGGTCTATAACCTTCTAGATTTTGTACTAGTCCTCAAGTGTTTTATCTTGCTAAATACTTCTGAATGTAGGGTAAGTATTAGAGCCTTAAAATGTTAACACTTGAACTTACAAAATATAAGTTGTTCTGTTTACACAAGCTTTAAGCAAGTCTGTTTTCATTTCTAAAAGTCTCTAATAATTTTATAAGCCTTAACATAAGTTCTTAAGAGATGTCTTTAATTAAGACATTAAAAAGAGTAAATATTTTTTAATTGGTAATTGAATAAATAACTCATCAAAAACAACAAAGCAGTAAGTCCTTCTTTCAGCTTAGTATTATACCAAGAGATAACTTTCACATGGTGCGTTTACGTCAGCATATGGTGTTAAATGCATTACAGAGTTTAAATGAAGTTAATTACTAAATAAAGTCATATGGACTAATAACATAAATCAGCATTTCTCAAACTGGTGTTCCTCAGAACCAGTTCCAACAATTGCTTTGTGGGTAAAAAGAAGAGTCTGTGGTTAAATAAATGGTGGGAAATTCTGAGTTCAATACCCTTGGAGACAAAGCTTTATTGAAGGCCTTCTCAGGGCCTTTAATATGCTAATATACATTATAAATTTCCAGAGCAGAGTATGGTGAAGTGTTACCAAAGAAGCTTTGGGGAAAACTTAACATATTCTTTAAGGAAAGTTCCCAAGGAAATGCTGATATAATTCAATATGCATATTTGACATTTTAGGTAATCTTTCAAAATAAAGTCTAGGGCAAAAAAAAGTATAAAGTTGTTCTAGTGTCAGCAGCATTAAAAATAAAAGTATTATATTAAGCATCGTAACATCAACCACATAAGCTAAGCACAGAAGAGTTCTATAAGAAAGAATGTATACACTTACTTGATCTCTAATTTGGGAAGTAAGATTTTCCATGTCTCCAGTAAAATGTTCAAGCCTTTGTTTATAAATTTTAGATGCCTTTTTTAGAGCTATAGCTTTTTGCTTACTTGATTCTTTCATTGCTACAGCCTCATGCTTATTTTTTCTCACTTGCAAGTTCCATTCAGTTATCTTGCTTTCTAAACTCTAAAAACAAAACGAAACAAAACAGCACTCAAATCATTTTAGAATGTCAATGTTTATGTAAACACTGGAAAAAGATGTAATAATTATCCAGTTTTTATCAAAATGACTAATCATAAGATTAATACCAAGTGAAACAGTGAAGAAAGATGATTTTAACAAAGTTTATTGTAAGAGAAAACAAATAGAAAATCTGTAAGTGTACATAAAATTAATGCTATTCTATTAACAATATTGGTGATTATACTACAAATACCAACTTTCTAAAAGTTTTTGTGATTAACTAAACCTTTAAGAAATTTCAGGTCAAAAATACTAGCAGAGCACTAACTGCAAATAATTGCGCTGAAGACAATTCAAACAATAGGTACACAAAGCTCAAAGGAATTGGTGATTCTCCAAATACATTAGGACTAGTTTGAGAGATAAGGACTTAAGAGAAGATATGATTAAAATCTATAGATCACGGAGGATATAGATAAGACAAACAGACTTATTTATCAAATTTTAATTTACTAGAATTAATGGACATGCCTTGACATCAAGGAAAATAAAAGTACTATCTCACCAAAGGAGTAGTATTTGTTAAAGTTTTTATTCCAAGAACAAACAAGTTTGGATGAATGAGTAACTACCAGGTCCTAATAGTAGTAAAGGAAAAGAGATGTATGAGGACATGTTTCCACCACTAATTTAGATGGTACTAAATGGCATGATTGTTACATTGACATGTCTCTTGGGGAGTTAACTAGAATATTATGTTAGGTGGATCACAGATATCATTTAGTATGATAACTTCTCATAGTTTTACTACAAATTTTAAGACCCTGTATTTACAGTATTTGAGTACTAGGTATCTAAGCAGCAAAAACTTAAGATCTTAATGATTTGCATTTTATTAAGTTGTGTAATCCTGAAAAGAACTTAAATTCTTATAGAATTTTTAAGCTTTGGACTCCTCTTCATTGGACATCATTTTAATAAAATAAGAGAGAGAGAAGTCATAGTAAAAAAGCTATAACTGTCTATTTAACCTGTCATCAACAAAAGCTATGCTTCTACTAAAATTGATACTAAGTACAACTTTTAAGATTTGATCTTTTTGAAAATAACTAGAAAGACCAAGACTAAATGAAACATTCTTTTATTGGTTCTAAAAATTATATCCTAAGTTAAAAAGTTCATGATTTTTTTAAATAAATAATTGGAAAAAATCAAATAAGAGCAGTACAGTAAGTCTACTTAAGAGGAAGACCCGTAAATGCAGTTGTCATTCCTCTAAGAAACCACAGGGTGTCATCATCACACCATGAAAAACTGCTACACTTTAAATAAGAGCTTTTTTAAACACCAAAGGCACATTTTTTTTTTTTTTTAAACAAGGTTCTAGTCAAAACTGTCTCACTAGACTTATCAAATCCCACTATTAAGTACCATTAGGGAATGTAATAAAATGATGAGATTATTTTTGTTGCTTCAAATAACACCTCACAGTCATTTGCCAAAAGGCCTATATTAATGACATTTAAGGTCAACTATTTGTCTTTTCCTATTCCCAAGGAAATAGACATGTTGCATATTATAAAAATAGTTACTCTTGGCCTGTTCTAACAAGTGAAAGTATATAAAATCTAATTTTTATGTTATGAAGATAAAGATAAAAAAAATGGTTAAAGGTATCTTCAGGATAGTTCTCAGAGAATTAAAATGTAATCTTAATTTTTTAAAGTCCCAATAGAATTTACTCTGAAATACTAAAAAATTGAGATTTACATTGCCAAACTTTTAAACCTAAACAGAAGAACTAAATTCTAACCCCCAATTATGTAATGCCTTAAATTCCAAACCATGTTAGAGGGGTGTAGAACAATCAGTAACCTAATGAAACTTTCTCTTAATCATTTCTAAGCACAGCGTTTTTGTAAAGGAATTTGAACTCTGTGTATTAGACAAAGAATGTCTTGGCAAAATCTTAGGATTTTAACCTTATACTGCTTCTCCAAATTATATGGATATAAAAAGAAACTGTTAAACATCATTCAAGAAAATTTTAATATTTCATTTTTTTCCCAGGTCTTCCTTTTAATTTATTTTTTCCAGCTTTATTGAGCTATAATTGATGAGTCAAAGTTGTAGACAGACATTCAAGGTGTAAAGTAGGATGATTTTTTTTTACATATTTCTTTTTTTTTTAATTTTATTTTTATATTCTCCATACAATTGCAACTTAATATTTCATTTTTAAAATGCAGAGGATATTTTAAAAAACATTCATGGTTGATATTTGAAAACATAATTAAGAACTGTGGTAGATGATTATTAATCACATGTATTCTCTTGTATTTACCAGACAGACCAATGCAATAGACATACCAACACTGTGTATTTACCAGACAGACATACCAACTCTGGTTCATATGCAGCGCCCTAGGACACCAAAGCAAAGGACACAGGAATCTAAGGGGAAAGTGCTTTTTCAAAAGCACAGGCAGGAGTACAAAGAACAAAATTTATATTCCCCCATAGACATTAATGTCCCCTAGATGGCCAAAAGGTTTTCTGTCTTCGAAGGAAAAAAAAAAAACAAAAACATCCAACCCCAGCTCAGTCTGAAAAAATGTGCTATAGATTTTAGTCATCTCCCAAATTCAGGAGTGCAAAAGCAAACAAATTTAACACAGAAGTCCTCACACTCAGTGAGGATTGTCTTTACACACTTCTCCTCTGAAAGTGGGAAATGCCAAAAATGAGTCAATCTAGTTAGCTTGTACCATATCATAGCAAGTTCAAGTTCCTATCTCAAAGTGACTATGAGTCTTCCAAAAGAATATTTTCCCTAAACACTATTTACAATAGGTAAGCTATGGAAACATCCAAATGTCCAAAAATAGATGATTGGATCAAGAAGATGTGGTACGTATACACATAGAATATTACTCATCAATCAAAAAAGATAAACTCATGCCATTTGCAGCAACATGGATACAGCTGAAAAGGCTCAGTGAAATAAGCCAGAAAGAAAATGAAAAATACCAGATGGTTTCACTTATAGGTGGAATGTAGGGGATCCAAATAAGGAATCAGAAAAAAAAGTAATTATAATAAAGTAAAGATCAAAATCAACAGGCAACTATAAACCAGAGACATTCTGCAGGGGGAGAGAAGGAAGTTGGATCAAAACAGGGATTGGAAGAGCACAAGGGCCTATGGTGATGGTACACAGGTGAATTAGTGGTGGGAATTCCATGGGGACTATACTTGATATGATAAAGCATACATTGTATAAAAATGAAGAATGATGTAAAAATATATATAAATATAAAAAATTAGAAAAAGAATATTTCCCCTAACTATACTCCTAAGTATATGTATTATACATAAAATAAACAAATCGAGTTTTATATATACACACACATATATATCAAGGGGATTACTAGATTATCTAAACACCAAAGCTAGATTAAACTGATTTTAAGTTATAGTTGGTAACAAACAAAACAATAAACCTGCATTGACTGCTCATTAAGTATGTTCGAGAGCATGCATGTTAGTGTGGGGAAATGACTGAAATAACATATACCAAAATGCTAACAATGGTTTCAGTGTTTCAAAGTCATTTTAATTTTCTTCTTTATATTTTACAAGTTTTCCACAGTAAACACAAATTAATTATATAATGGGGTAGATTTTTAAAGTAATTCAAGTCCTTCAAATCTTTCCTAGGTTGGTATTGAAAAGAGATGGCATTTTTATTTTGGAACTTGGAACCAAATCTTTAGAAGGAGCAGAAATCCTAAGATTATGATTTGTCTCAAGTGTGCATACTTGAATTCTTTCAAAACCACAAAATTCTAGAATTAGGAAAATAGCCTCTCACTAATTTTTTCCTTAAACTACAAAATGGATGCAAATTTGTAACCTTTATGTGTTCTTTTAACTTAGCATTCTCTGCTTCCTTTTTTTGAATTTGAAGCTGCAGCCGTTCATGTACCATCTGCACAGACTTTGAAAAACGATTTGCTTTCAGAGCATTTGCCTAGAAAAGAAAACAAAAAAGTGTTACTTTATGTATTTCTCTACAATCTTTAATTTTACCCCTATGTAGACATGCTTTTAAAAACTGATAAAAAAAGACATAGTAGCATTTTACATAAGCCATGACTCCTATTACAAATGTATTTTATATAAACCCATTGGGATATTTTCTCCTCCCCTTGTTTATTTAATGGTTCCTGGTAATAATCTCTTTTTCAAAGCTCCCATCTCTCTTCATTGTAAAATTAGGAATATATCTAAAATGCTTCTACAAACACCAAACCAAAATTAAAATGCACTACAGTAAGTTTACACAGAGTTCCTAATATATAATCAATTATGTCAAGGACCCTGACAGAAACACCATAAAAATATCAATATTTAGGGCCTCCCCGGTGGCGCAGCGGTTGAGTGCTGGGTTGCGAAGCTGCCCGCAGCCTCTGCAGCGCCGGTTCGATCCCCGGCTGCTCCCCGGCCACCAGAGGAGGGTCCCACATGGCGCGCAGACCTCTCCTGCCGCCCGCTGCTCCCCTCAGCAGTGTACTTCGGTCCTTCTGCCTGCTCTGCTCCCCGCTCTGGCTCTGGTGAATTCTCTCACCCTCCCGCGCTTCTGACTGTACCCAGTGCTTGTATAAATAAATAAATAAACATAAATAAATAAATCTTTAAAAAAAAAATATCAATATTTATATATTTGAGATATAAAACTTGAAAAATACTCAAATAATCTAAAAACCTGTCTATTTCTTTTTTGGCAAAAAAAGATTTATTTATTTACGCATAGAAGAACTGGGGTATAGGCCAGAGGTGCGGGGGGGAGAGTGAGAGGATTCACCAGAGACAGAGCGAGGAACAGAACAGGCAGATTTATTGAAATACACTGCTGAGGGGAGCAGCGGGTGAGACAGGAGAGGTCTGCTGTGCCAGATGGGTTAGCGCCCTGGCTGGGGATAGAACTCAGGCTGTGGCGGTAATAGTGCTGCGACTTAAACCCTAGGCCACCAGGAAGGTCCCAAAACCTGTCTATTTTTAAGGATATATGGTGATCAAGACAGAAAGCAGAGAAAGAGGTAACCAACATCAAAAAATATATAATAAATTAAGCCAAAATATTTGCTTACCTTTTCATTCTGGAACAGACAAGAAAGTTCTTGGATATAGGTCTCCTTTTCAAGGATCTTCTTCTTAAGATTCTTTAGTAAATATATTTTAAGAATTAGAAATATCACAACTTGAATAATATTGACTAATTTCACAAAAACCAAGCAGCACACAAACCAAAAAAAAAATGTCAGAAAAAGTTTAAAAGACTTACAGCATTTTCACTTTCATTATCTGTTAGCTTCTCTAGCATGTTGGATAAACCATCCCCTGCCTGTGAAAAAAAGATGTTACAATTCAATGTTCATAGATTATATTTCTTTATATAATAAGCCGGAAAGAAAAAGAAAAATATTGGATGGTTTCACTTATAGGAGGAATATACAGCATCCAAATAAGGGATCAGGAAAAAGAAAGTAATTTTGATAAAGTAAAAATCAAAATCAATGGGCAACTATAAACCAGATATATTTTGCAGGGGAGGAGAAGGGAATAGGATCAAAACAGTGGTGGGAAGAGCACAAGGGACCATGGTGATGGTACATGGGTGAATGGGTGGTGGGAATTTCACGGAGACTATAACCAAGATGAAAATTAATACATTGTACAAAAAATGAAAAATGATGTGAAAAATATATAAAATAATAAATAAATAAATAAAGACTTACAGCATTTTCACTTTCATTATCAGTTAGCTTCTCTAGCATGTTGAATAAACCACCCCCTAACTGTGAAGAAAAGATGTTACAATTCAATGTTCACAAATTATATTTCTCTATATAAAAGGGTAGCAATTATAACAAAAATCACTTATGTAATTAATATAGACAATTACCATGCACACCTCATATTTTTAAAAAATTGTCAGAATGATTTTTTTGACTGTGTCCCTAAATCATTTTGCTCACAATTATCTCAATTAATTAATTAACTGCTAAATAATAATTCACAGTATAAGTCAATGACATAAAAATCTGATTTACAAAAGAATTTCACAGTGTTGTTTATAAATAGATAAAAATTATAAAGGACCTAAATTCTAGCAACAAGACAAATTTTTAATTAGAACAAATCAGTAACAGAATTCTGTCTAGGCATTTTAAATGAGAACAAAGAATGCTTATTCATTTTGAGGGCCATACCTTTGCTTGAGAATGTGAAAAAGTTACTAATTACTTTCACTCCATAACACATATCTAATATAGAACATATAGGGCCTCCCCGGTGGCGCAGCGGTTGAGCGCTGGGTTGCGAAGCTGCCCGCAGCCTCTGCAGCGCCGGTTCGATCCCCGGCTGCTCCCCGGCCACCGGAGGAGGGTCCCACATGGCGCGCAGACCTCTCCTGCCGCCCGCTGCTCCCCTCAGCAGTGTACTTCGGTCCTTCTGCCTGCTCTGCTCCCCGCTCTGGCCCTGGTGAATTCTCTTACCCTCCCGCGCTTCTGACTGTACCCAGTGCTTGCATAAATAAATAAATAAATAAATCTTTAAAAAAAAAAAAAGTGTTAAAAAAATAAATAATATAGAACATATAAACAATATATAATACAAATTGCACAATTTCAAAGGCTTCATTGACTTCCTGAGGCTCACTCATCTTTAGACTGTTAGGGAATACAATGGGAAGCCCGGCATATATATCTTCTCATTTCTCTCGGGGATATGCATATTGTAAATGAATGCACACAACAGTTTTATTCTTAACAGTCAAAAAGCAGAAGCAACTCAAATGTCCATCAACTGAGAAAGTGATAAGTAAAAGTGGTATACCCGTACAACAAAATAATCCTCAGCAACGAAGAGAAATGAAGTACTAATACCTGCCGCAATGTAGACAAACCTTGAAAATAAACTAAATGAAAAAAGGCAGTTATGAACAATCGCTTAAGATTTCATTTATATGAAATGTCCCGAAAGGCAAATCAGAGACAGAAATTAGGTAATAGGCTAAGAAGTGTGGGTGGGGATGGCAGATGAATTTATAAAGGACTTGGGATTTCTTTATGTAGTGATGAAAATGATCTAAAATTGATTATGGATTTGGTCCCACAATTCTGTGAATATACTAAAAATCACTTAATTATATCTATTAAATGGGTGAATTACATGAGATGTAATTATAATTCAATTAAATGGTTACAAAAATATGTGAACGCAAAATGAAAATATGTGAAAGTACACAAGAATTTAAATGTTAAGAGTATTTTACTACCATAGGGTGAATGAAGTACAAAAAGTAATGAAAGATTCTGAGATAAAAAATAAAAATATATTTTTTATAAAACATGTCATTTTCATGTAGAATTATTTATGAAATATAAAAAATAGGGGTTAGCTTAGTGATTGCTACTTCAAACAGTCAAGAAATATTTCAAATATATCAATATTTTAATTTCTAAAATAATTAATATCTAAAACTACATTTGAGACTATACCCTTCAAATGTGAAATATTACTATCAAATTAGGGTTTAGTGTTCCTTACTTGTTGGTAGTCTGTCTTTCTAAGAAGATGTTCCAAAGCTTGTTTTACACGTGTGAAAGTGTCTAGTTCTTTTGTCAATATTTCCTTCTGTTTAGAAATCTTCCAATTGGATACAAAAAGATTAGCCTGACAGAATATAAGAACCACATACACAGTTAAGACATAGCATTAAAATATTATAAAATATGTATTATTAAAGAATACTTTTGCTAGTAACAAAATCATTCTGCATATAGTGACAAATATTGGCAAGTTTATTCATAGTAAATATGATATTACACAGTAGAATAAATTAAAATGAAATCAAAATAACAGGTTAAATCTTAAATTACTTCAGGCATTTAATAAAATTAGAATATAATTTTTTTTTGCCCCTAACTCAAATGTTAGCAGACTGATATTTTAGAATACAGTGTTCTAGTCATTAACACTATAGAAAATATAGTAGCATATCTTTTAATCTCTCGTTCAACTCCAGGTAAGTCAAGTACCAAATTATAGAGTTTCTTGTTTCAGCTCTTATCAGGTACATGCCGAGTCTAGCTTTTAGCGAAAGAATTGCAATTAATGACATAGGAATAAAGAATACTGATAAGCCTACATATTTCGGTATCAAATACCAACACGTGAGCCAAACTACTTTAAGATATGAGATCTCCTTAACGCATTCTGGTATTATGCCAACTTTGTATTTTGTTCACAGGTCAAATACTCACATTTTCAAAATTAATTTCTTCAATGGTTTCCTTAAAAAGTGGCAAAAGTAATTCTACAGAACAGGTTGCCAACTCAGCTTCCTTAAATGTTGCTTCCAATTCATTTTTTTCATTTAGGATGTCCTGTTTTAGACTAATTACATATACACAAATAAAATTTAAGTTAAATCTGTCACACACACTAGTCATACTTTTTATGCAAATACAGCATAGCCTGACTAAATGAGTTGCACAGATCGTTCTGCAAAATGTAACAGTATATTATCACTGAAAACGTGTAATTTTTTTATACTTCTGTAACAGAATGTATACTTCTGTGTTTTTTCAATATTGTACACGAGAAGGCAATTTTTAAGATGTTAAAATATATAAAACACCAAGACCATGACTAGCAATGCTTTGCCGTGCTACTATTTATTCAGTATCCCTTTTCTGGTATGTGTCCTTTTTTCTTCGCTTACTTCTTCCTTAACTCCAAATCAAAAAGATTTGGATATTATCCCCAAACCCTTTCTTGAAATTTATTGTTCTTCATAAGAAAATTCCTCCAGAAGGATGAATAATCTAAATAAATGGGACACACACACACTTTCCCAGATACCTAAAATTCCTTCAGATTTGGCTTTAGAATAAATTATTGTCATTCAAAACAATATTGCTTTTGGCTTTGCTAATTACATTTTACCTATACACTACATGTAACACCTTAAGATATATTTTTTGGTTCCATTTTTATATCCTGAAGTCTAGATGCTTTGTACTACCTTGTCATTGAAAGAGAATCCTGACCTGTGTTACTTGCACACACTTAACACTTACATTGTGGGTGTCCAATACTTTGAAGAACATCCCAGAGATAGGTCATGGCCCCATTTTAATTCCTTGAGACAAAAGGTCATAAAGAGGTATTGAGGGAGTGGGTGAGTAGGAATGCTTAGCAACATTCCAGAAAATTATAATACAGGCTTGCTATATGTTGTAATTAAGAGTTCAGCACCAATAACTTTTGTTTCATTTAAAGATGCTGCTAAGAAATATCTCTTCACCAATACTTTTAATAGCAAGGACAAATTGGAATCATAATAGGACCTGGACTTTGAGTATAAAGAATATTTGAGAATTCCTTAACTGATTTATTTTACTTACAATTTATTTTTATATAAGCACAGGGTTGTTTGGATTAAAAATCTATATATAATTAAGTCTGAAGGCACTTTTCAATATTTATAAATAAAAGTCCCACTGATAAGAAAGTACTGTGTGTTTCTTTAAGTGGCAGCTCTTTTTCTTTCTTTCTTCCTTTCTTTTTTTTTTTAAAGATTTATTCATCCATGCACACAAGAGCTGGGGTACAGACCAGAGATGTGTGTGTGTGGGTGGGGGGTGAGAGGATTCACCAGAGACAGAGTGGGGAACAGAACTGGCGGACTGACTGAAATACACTACTGAGGGGAGCAGCGGGCGAGACACGAGAGGTCTGCTGCGCCATGTGGGTTGATCACTGGCCAGCCAGGGATCGAATTCGTGCTACAGAGGCTGCAGATTGCTTCATAGTGGGGTGCTTAACCCCTTATGCCACCAGGGAGGCCGTCTTTTCTTTTTATGGAACATAATATTCTAGCTCATTAACAAGTGATGGCATCGTAGATGCTACGTTGAAAAAGTAGACTGTGTCCTTCTATACCAGTGGCTTAAATGATAGGTCTAAGAAGATGCCCCTAAGAAGATGGACTTATGAATGATACCTGTTCTAGGGCAGAAAGCCAGGATAATTATATATTACCAAATACATTTTCATTTGTAACAGTTAAGTTGGAAGCCAAGACCATTGACAGTGACAATAAAGATATTTTTAAATTGTCACTGTGGGGGGCAAAGGTTCATATAAATAACAAGTATATGCCCCATACTAAAGAAGAAAATATGACAAGTATTTGTTATAGAGCAAAATACCAAGTGAATTAAAAACTTAACAATCTGCATTTCCAATATCCTATAGCATTTACTATGTTCATTTACCTAGTTGAAAAGCTTTCTATTTTACAAATTCTCTCTAGGTTAGGTTTTCATTTTTAGTTGTTTTCATCAAGATCCCAAAAAACTAGCCAATTTGTGCTGAATGAGTACATTTGTAATCAAATTAAACAAGTATAAGAATTACTAGATAAAGAATACGTTCTTAAAAGAATGTTGTATTTGATTAAGATAATTTACAATATGGACAAAACAGGAAGCCCTGAAATCAGAAAATGAGATATCCCATGGTAATGTTGAGAATACCAGCCGAGATGACTTTCACTGGTATGCCCTGGGTTATTTTCTTTCTCTGGGTTATTTTCAAAATGATAAAGTAGTTCTTCTGAATGACTTCCATTGTTTGAAGGCTTCTCCATTAAGTTCGGTAAATAGGTTTACAGGTGGCTTCCACAACTCCACAAAAGCTGAAAGTTAGGAAATATTTTAGTTATTATACTTCATTTAAGTAGGGATTCTTTTTTTCTGTCATTACCTTACCATACAGCATAAAGATCCTAAAGAGTAATATTTCTCAGACAAAACTGAAATTATAACTGTACTCATTCTAGGTAGTATCAAATTGTATCACATCGCTATTCAACAATTGACAATCTCCATACAGTTACCAAAAAAGGCCTACAATTTTCTACAATACATAATCACTAAAATGCAGAAATTTTATTCATGTATTTTTTAAAGTATCATACTATTATCTTAATTCAAACTAGAAAATAGATATAAAAACCAGAGGTTAACTATGGTTCCTATTAATACCTAAAATAGAAATTAAACATATACTTGGCAGCAATAGCTACAAAGATATGATTTTTTTGGAAAACAGACTTTACACTGAGATTAAAAAAAAAATTAGCTAAATTCCCAGTCAATCTTGGCTATTGTTTGGTGATAATGAATAAAGAGATGGCAACATAGCAATATTTGGGGCTCTCTGCAGTATAGAAATTTAAAAATACACTGATACACAAAATTAAATGAAGACCCAAATGAAAGGTAACAAGAACATGCTCTGGGGAAGTCACCGCAAACAAGAGAACTCTCATCTACTCATTTGTTTAAGTATTTGTCTCTCTGTATAGTAGAATATTAAAAAAGTTTTATTTTAATTTGAATCCTCATCCCCAATAAGCCATGTAAAAGCTAAGAAATAATTAAAGGCTTAAAGAAAAGTCAAGGCTTAGAGTAGTTAATGAATATGATGAATACAATTGGTTGCTTTTTAATTACTCACTGCTTGATTCATCTTTTTGGAGATCATTAAAATGACTTGGAATAAAAGTTTAAAACTCAATGTAATAAGATAGACATCATCAATTTGTAGAAAATATTTTATAAGATTCGGTTTGGTTTCAGTATTTTAAATGAGTTCTTTATTTACTTGGCTCTCTGGACTACTGGCAGATATACATATTTATAATTTTTCTAAAAATTTTATTACAAGACAAATCCCACACCATTCTTTTCTGTGTCATCATCTATAATACTCAACTGTCGTAAAGTATAAACAAATAAAATTAACCCATTGTAAAAACAGGAATTTTAGAATGACTTATGGATCAACATTCTAAAATGTTATCTTCATTACAGATTCCTCAAAATATGAAGCAGAGACCTACATAAATCTCAGATGTTCCCACAGAAATAATCAACAATGACATTCTTACAATCCACAAGTATTTTCTAGAATAAAGGTTACTCAGAGGTTCCAATATTTTTTGTTGTGACAAAACTAAAGACATGTGTGGAAGAACAACATAATCATTGTCTTTAGCATAAAAAAATTTCTACCTTTACAAAAATGTTATATTTTAGTGGGCTGAATGAATTCTTGCATATAGAAACAGGGGAGCCACAAGAAAATTTTTCAATTATGTAGAATAAACTGCCAGTTGACAAACATATTACACTTCTATTTGATTTGTTAGTGGTGAAACAAGATGCATATTCTGCACACAAGTGCTAAAGATTAGCAATTTTAAAATATTTTAAATATTTAAAGAATTAAATTTCCTACAAATGAGTTTACTAGTTCCCTAACAAAAAGGCATGTTCTTAAAGATTTCTCCAAGACCAGGCATATGTTTATGCTAATCCAGCCACAATCACTAAACTGTTTTCTTTGGCCAATAACAAATATTTGAGGGGTGGCTGTTCAGGGACCACACTGGCCATAGTCACAGAAGAGGAAGATCACACACAGTCTCTGACCTTCCTTAGTACCTGGGTTGATCTAAGTAAACTAAACAGCTGCAGATAAATATGACTTAAAACTACTCTCCCTGATCTGAAAAGTATATGGATTTTGCAAGTTTTAATTTTGATTTCTTAAACATTAATTCTTGGGAAACTAGTTCCCATTGGCTTCAAACAAAAATACACAGTATCTACTGAAAAAATTGATAGGAATTATTCAGCAGGGAACAAAGAGTATATACAGGAATGCTATTTGTTTCTCTCACTAATCCAGTCACTAATGAAAAGTTTACTAAAAAAGTAATTATATTGTCTTTCAAAATGTATAGGAAATTTGGAAATAGGCAAAAGGAGTGAAAATAAGCAGAGGTGGAAGATAGATTCTATGAGGAAAAGCTATATTAGAAAAAGCATTATAGAAAGGCTAAAGATAAATAATTAGCTGGTGCCCCTCTCCAGTGAATAAAGACAATAGGAAATTTTAAAATGTTGCAGATTGGATAAAATTGGGGGTGGAACAGGAGGGAGGGTTGACATCAACTGTGGCTAAATTGTAAATATAGGATACATACTTCAAGGTCCAAGTTCTTCCCAAATAGTCTGTTCCTTAACATCAAGAACCCAAACATCTAATAGTATTTTCAGAATCATACCATTTAAAAATTCAATTGCTCCACAAATGCTCCTATTTTAATTTTATTTTAAACTTGCTACTAAATCTGTGGGGACAAATATCGCATGGATCACCCTGGCCTTAACAAATAGCTAACATAGTGGGGGCACAGGTTAGGTTCTGATATATATATATATATATATATATAATTAGAGTGACCAAATTATTGTTCAACCAGGACAATTGCCCAGGATAAAACCAGAATATTGCTCAATCCCAAATCCCAAATATAGTCAGCCTCCTTCACCAGATAAACAAAAGGTATTTTCCTTTCATTCAACATGACAACTGTTGCAGTCTACTAACGGAAAATTTATTTTTTTATAAACATGATTTCACAAAAATCATAAGATTGTTACTACCATTCAAAAGCTATAGATGACGAAACCAAGTATTAGAAAGGTTAAGTAGCTTTCCCAAGTTTGTTACAAAGTAGTGAAATTCAGTAATGAATCAAAAGCCATCAGATACTGAAGTGTCCATAAAGAACCCACACAATAGAAAGTAACATACAAACTTGCTCAATTCGTTCTGGTGTTAATATGACTCATAAATTGGATTTATATTAAAAGATGAAAACTATTCTATACAAAGAAGTGAAGGATGAATAAGACTGAGCTCCTTGAAGGCACAGACAAGAAGTTCAAATAGCGAGCACACCACTAAAATCCAGTGTGCTAAAAGTGGTAACAGGGGACAAATGGAGTACTAGGAAAGAGAGTAAGAGGCTAATGTCAATTGTCAGGAACCTGGGAGACCTCCTAGGGGAGGTGAGATTACAGAGAGGTGACAACCTCAGTGGAGTTACAAAACAAATTTGAGCCTGGAACAGGAAATTTGAGTACAGGAACAGGAAAAGTCACTCAAGATCGCACCAGCAAGAACAAGGAATGGTGAAGGAATATAACTTGCAAGGTCAAGTGCAAAAATGAGACTAAAAGCACTGAGAATGCTCACTGTATGTGAACTCAATAGCTTACTTTTTTCCCTAGAGGTTGACAGACTATTAAATAATTTTAAGTGGGGAATGATAGCTCAGAAGTGCACTTTAAAAACATTAATCTGATAGAAGTTTGAAGAATGAACGAGGCATGTGGAGAGAAGAGCAATGAAACTAGTTATTAGGGTCTTAGAGAGATGAAAGTACAACATTCTTTTCTTTTGAAGAAATCAAACAAAAGTTGCTCCCACCGGTTAAAAAATACATGAAAAACATTGAAAGAAGCAGAATTAAAATGAGAGAAGAGATCAGTACTGAAAGAATGGATCAAAAAAACCCATCTCATTTACCTCTGATCCTCTGAATCAGACTGCTCCCTATCTAAGGTTCCAGATGATCACTTATTGCTTTAAGTACCAATATTAACTTCTAGTACTTTGAAGAAAAGTTTTTAAAAGTATCCTTTCTTCTTAAGCAGAATACAGGTAGACTGACCATAATATAACCATTCCTTGATGACACAGAAGCAGCATATAAAAATGAAAGGATACTGGGCCAGACACAGCAGTTTTTCAGTCTTCTTAACTCACCCAAGGTGGACAATTCATAGCCACAATAGATTGCCATGGTCTCTTCTTTAAAAAAAAAAAAAAAAATGAGACTACCCTATGCCAGACAAAACTGTGGTGAGGTTTGAACAGAATGAAACACAAGAATTTACAGAAGTTTTTAGCTGTCATATTTTAATTTAGGGTTCTTTTGGCTAACTCTGTTGGGCTGCTTTCCTATCAGGCTTTCTCTTTAAAACGTTTCATCTCTTAGAAAAAAATCATCTTCAGTCAATTACCATGCCTTAAATTACTTCAAGACATTATGCGGTGGGCGCTTAAAAGTCAGCTAGTTTATAGTTGCTTGTTGATTTTGACTTTATTATAATTAGTCTTTTTCCAGGTCCCTTATTTTTTTTTTAAGATTTATTTATTTATAAATACAAGAGTTGGGGTACAGGCTAGAGATGCGGGAGGTGAGAGGATTCACCAGAGACAGAGCGGGGAACAGAACAGGCAGACTGACTGAAATACACTGCTGAGTAGAACAGCTAGTGAGCCAGGAGAGGTCTGCCTCGCCATGTGGGTAGCTCCCTGGCCGGCTGGAGATGGAACTCGTGCTGCAGAGGCTGAGGATTGCTTCATAATTCGGTGCTTAACCCCTTGTGCCACCAGGGAGGCCCCCTTTATTTAGGTTTTCTAAATTCCTGCTATGAGTGAAACCAGAGACACACTGTGGGAGGGGGGAGGGGGAGGGGGGTGGGATCAGAGTCAAAATGGGGGTGGGTGGGAATTGTATGGGGAATACAACCAAGATGGAAATGTATACATGGTGCAAAAATGAAGAATGATGTAAAAACTATACAAAATAATTTTTTTTAAAAAAAAAGTCAGCTAAAGGACTAAGAGCATCAACACAATGTTTCTGGGATTAAACAAAAAACAAAAAAAAACGCGGCCATGCCTGAGGTCACCCAGTTAGTGTTAGGGGGAAAGGATGTCCTGAGATAATCTCATACTACCTGGAGGGATTCGTTTTCTTTCAGACTGGAACCCTGGAAAATTTTCATCTGAGACTGTATCCCAGAATCCATATGTTTGATCTTCATCACCATGGAAATGGTGGCAAAAAGTGAAAGGGGGGAATTGTTAGGGGGAAAGGATGTCCTGAGATAATCTCATACAGGCTTTGTGGACTCCACCCCCACTCCAGACTAAAGCCATCAGGACATTGGGAAAGACAAATCCCATCACCACCAAGGGGAGGGTGGCTGGGACCTGAGGGTGGAGTTGGGCAGCCAGGTTGGATATAAAAACCAAACACGTGGGCCTTGCTCGCTCTCTGGCTCGCGATAGCTCGCCTCCTGGCTTCACCGCTCCTGGCTGGCGGCCAACTGAGAGCGCCATTTTGGGATTCCTGATCAGCGGATCGGGTAGGACGCATTTAAAACTTTGTCTCCCACTTTTCTCCCAGAGCTGTACATTTCCTCATTTCCCTTTCCGTTGTAAATAAACCTTTTATTAACCTTTCACGTGTGCCTGCAGTAGAGCATTGATAAGTCCTTTTAAGCGCGCGGGTGAGGACCCACAGTCAGGCACCCCGTTTTGTATCGGGGTTGCTCTACAACATTAGGATCTTGTTCGGAGCAACCCTGCTGGGATAAGACCAGCCCTGCTATCCCGAGGACCACACCCTTCCTAAAAGTAAGAGTCTCGGTCCCTTTTTCCCAGCCCGAGCAGCCCGGGGAAGTGGAAGAACAGGTAGCAAGGGGCCGAGGTCTAGCTCTGGGGTACCTGATCGCCTCTCGCCTCCTGGGAACCCCCCAGACCCCCAGTTACACCGGCGAGACCGCCCATCCCCAGCCCAAGCATCCCCGACAGAGCGCGCCCTTCCCCAAAAGGCGCGCCGCCGGCGCAGCTGCGAGCACGTCACCGCGACGTCAGCGCGACTCCGCCGGGTTCAGAAAGGGGTACAGGGAGTAGCCAAGCCCGACGTTCATCCGGCATTATTGGAAACCCCGGCAAGCATACCTCTACTCTCCAGCCCCGGGTCGGCTAGGAGGAGCGGGACGCAGGGGGCAGTGCCGTGGGCAAAGGCTAGGATGGGACGCGGGGTAGAAAGCGGCGAATTCCTAGAACCAATTGCGACGGGAGCGCGCCCGTCTCCGCGCCAGCGGTACGGAAGCGCGGTTAGTAACCGGCCAGGGGCTTCTCTGGCAACAGGCGCCCCGCCCCTTCCGCCCCTCCGAGCCGGCGCAGCCAATTGGCCGGGCTCGGGAAGGAGAGCGCCGGCGCCTGCTGCTATTGGCCGGCTGGGGGGGCGGGGTTTTAGAAAGACGCTTTGTCTCTGTAGCTTCCCTAGCTGAGCCTGTTTTTTTTCTTTTTTTTTTTTTAAACAAAAGGGGCAGGACTTGTGTGCAGTTACCAAAAACCTTAATTGAGGAGTTCAACCGTCAGGAGAATGAGGCCCATAGGTTTCGAATTTTCTGACACTTGGCGTGGTGGTGCCCTACTTTTGCTTTGTAAAAGGGAGCTCCCAATGGAAAGAAACTCGTTTTAAATCTATAGTATTTTTGTTTAGCTGAGATCCTTCCTCGGCCCTCTGTTTTCTCCTGTTAAGTGGAGAAGCCCCACCGTGATCTGCTCTGCGCCTTTCAGGTCTCAAATTTTTTGTATCTGTGCTACAGCCAGGTGGTATTGGGTATAAGCTCCTGAAAAAGCCAGGCAAACATTTACTTGGGGGAGAAAAGAGTTAGCCAGCATTCACTATTTCAACTTAGTATTTGTGTTAAGAATCGTACGCCGTCATATTAAGTTCGCAAATAAAGCAAGTATTGACTGAGCAGTTTAACCGACATACTTTGTCCTTGGTTTTACTAAAGAATCTTTTTTTTATCCACTCTATGATTGTCCAGCCAAAGTTCGTAAGAGTTAAAAGTTCATTCAGAATGAATACAACTGCCATGTATGCAAAAAACTAAAACCTCTGGGGACTGAGAATTTAAGTACCTTCTCGCTAGGTGATTCTGTAAGACCTCTGGCGAGTCTACTAACTTTTCCAGTTTGGTTTCGTCATTTAAAAAAAAAAAAAAAGAGGGCCTCCCCGGTGGCGCAGCGGTTGAGTGCTGGGTTGCGAAGCTGCCCGCACCCTCTGCAGCGCTGGTTCGATCGCAGACCTCTCCTGCGGCCCGCTGCTCCCCTCAGCAGTGTACTACGATCCTTCTGCCTGCTCTGCTCTCCGCTCTGGCTCTGGTGAATTCTCTCATCCTCCTAAGCTTCTGACTGTACCCAGTGCTTGTATAAATAAATAAATAAATCTTAAAACAAAAAAATAAGAGGGAGGGGACAGCTGGAATTGGGGCAAGGAACACAACTCTCAGAGGCATTCCAGCACTAATTTGGTTTCCTAGCTAACTTTGTTCAATTGTCATACCTAGAGGAAATAATTGTCCACAAAAGTGAGGCTCCTCTTCTGAAAAACACTTATTTTAATTAAATTGCATTGGTATTAGATGTAAACCACCTTTGTAAGACATTCAAGAAGGAAGTGTTCATAAAATCTTAAATTCTTAAAAGTGGTTAATAAGATTCTCAAGTTTGACTATTTGAGCTGAATTGTCCAATAAAGTAAGTATGCATCCCTCATTTACTAAGTCTAATATGTTCCTACAATCTGGTTCAATAGTGAATTTATGCATAAAAAGATCGCTTGTGCCATTATTATTTAAATGAGAAAAAATTATTCATTCCAACCTATTTCAAAAAGTCCAAATATTGAACACATGACCTGTGAAACAATTCACCAAGGATTTCTACATAATGTTAAGCAGGGGAAACCAGTTTTTCTGTAAAGAGTCACATATGGAATATTTTAGATTATTTTGGCTGTTTTTTCCAGTTTTAATTAAGAGATAATAGACACAGTAAAGTGTACAGTTCTGTGGATTTGAACAAGGACAGTTCTGTGGATTTGGGGGTTGGTTTGTGGATGAAGGGAGTTGTCCAGACCTCTTGCCTGTGCCCTCCTTCTCCTCATATATATTACATACCCATGCATGTAATAATGAATAAAACAGTGAAACAGACCCATCACTCCCAAGTTGCCCCAGAACATCTACTAGGTGACCTCCTCTTTCCCTTAGACCCTGGCATACAAACATCTGTTTGTCCCGGTAGTTTGCCTTTTCCAAAATGCCATGTAAATAGAGTCATAGTGTATGTTGCCTTTGGAATCTGACTTCTTTCACACGACAATATTTTTAATCCCCCCAACACCCGCCATCCTTTATATCCCCTTGAATACCATCTCCCACATTACACTTTTTACTTGTGCTTTGGAACACAGTGAGCTCTAATTTCACAGATCTCAATCAGGGGCTTTGACCTTTTTTTGGACACAGTGGGTATGGCCAGGAACTACTGGCATCTAGTTGGTGGAGGCCAGAGATGTTACTAAACATCCTAGAATGTATCGGGTAGTCCCCAAATAAGAAAATTATTTAGAACAAATATCAACAGTACTGATGTGAAGAAACTCTGGTCCAATATGGAGAATACAAATATCACTAGCCACCTATGGCTACTGAATACTTAAAATTTTATTGATCTGATCTGAGATATAAGTGCAAAATATAAACTCATTTTGCATATGAAAAAGGAATGTAAAATATCTTAATTTTTATATTGATTTCATGTTAGAATGATAATATTTTGGGTGTATTGAGTTAAATAAGTTGTAGAATTAAAATTTAGTTTGAACTATTCCTTTTTGCTGTTTTTAATGTGGCTATAGAAAATTTAAAATTGTTTATGTGGCTCACATAAGGGATAGTGCTGGCCTAGAGATATAAAGTGATAACAGAGTTATGAGAAGAATCAGCAGCTCTTCACATGGTAAATTCATCAGCTGAAATTATTTCAGAATTTTCAAAGAAAAGACCAGCCTTTTAAGACTGGGAAAGAGGAGTTCTTCAGAAAGCAAAAAGCTCTATCAAAACGATTGAGTTATCCAAGTTCACCCAAACAGGTGCATTAAAATTCTCAAGATCTGACTCCTGTAAATGCCTTAAATTTTCACCTAAGAGACCTGGTGAGTCTGTTTATTCAACTTTTCTTGTAATACAACTCTTTACAGCATTAATGTTTGATATGTCATCCCAGAAACCCATAGAGATACATTTTTAAAGTAATCATTGAAACTCTATGACACCATACTTAGCACATTTGTCTTTAAGCAACTTAGTGCAGTTCCAAATAGCAAACCCACACCTCAATTTTTGTATTTGTCATTTCTGCCATACCCATCAAGACTTCATTACTGATATCAATTTAATTCCTAGTGACTACAGGTTACTTTTAAATTGAGGTATAATTTATATTTCAACAAAGTGCACATTTATTAAATGTTTGGAATAATAGTTTTGACAAATATATACAACCATGAATTCACAACTAGAAAGGATCTATTAAGTTCTACATCAACCCAGAAATATTATTTGTATTTCTCTCCAGTCCATTAACCAAAACTAACCAAAACAATCTTTACCCTCTGGCACACAGAGACACAATAAGACAACCCCTTTCTAATTTCTCGCATTAGAGGTTAATTTTGTGCATTTTTGATTTTCCTTTAAATGCAATCACACAATAGATATTATTTTGTGTCTGATTCCTTTTACTCGATGTTTCTTAGATTTTTTTCATGTTGTTGAATATTTTAGTAGTTTTTTCCTTTTTAGTAATGAGAAGTATTCAGTTGTATGACTATTACCATGATTTGTTTATCAATTTTGTTGATACATATTTTGTTGTTTGCAGTTTTGGGTTATTATGAATAATGTTGCTATAAACATTGTTGTAAAGGCATTTTATGAAGATATGTTTTTATTTTCTTTCCTACGAATGGAATTGTCAATCATAGGATTTATATACATTTAACTTTAAAAGAAAAACCTTATCCATCCTTAGCGTGGTTGTACCAACAATATGTGAAGGTTCCAAATGCTTCTTCACATCCATGCCAACAGTTATTAAGACCAACTTTTCAATTTTAACTGTTCTGGTGGGTAAAAGTGGCATCTCAGTGTGATTTCAATTTGCATTTTCCTGATAATTAACGATGTTGAGCACCTTTTAAATTATTGTCCAGATGTATATCTTTTATGGAGTGTTACTCAAATTTTTTGTCCATTTTTGTATTGTTTTCTTTTTACTATTCGTTGGTGTTCTTTATATTTTCTGAAAAAGTCTTTTGTCAAACATATATAATGAATATTTTCTCCCATTTTGTATCTTGCATAATTTTTAATGGTGTCTTTATAAATAAACTTTTACTTTTGATACAATCTAATTTGTTGATATTTTCCTTTTATAGTTTTGTACTTCACAGCTCCACATTTATGAAAACATTGTATGTTTTCTTCTAAAAGCTTTATGATTCTAGAGATTTCGATATATGATCTGACTTGAATTTATTGTTTTGGAAGGAATGATGTAGGAGAGAGAGAAAAGAGGAAGCACTCTCTTTCTTTTAAGGGCACTAATCCCATAATGAAGTCTCCACCCTCATAACCTAATTACCTCTCCAAAACGCCATCTCCAAATACCATCACATTGGAAATTAGGTTTTAACATAGGATTTTTGAGAGAGCACAAACATTTAGTCTGTAGCAGTGAGCAACGTGCTACCTGTTGTTCATAAGAGGTCTACTGGAAACCACCCCAAAAGGCAACTACCCCAGTCATGCAATAACTAAACCACTGGAGGTCAGGCTGGGCTTAGGTATGGTGTGAGGTTGAGGTAGGCTGTTAAAATAAATTGGTGGTTAGCAGCAAGGGCTTTGAAACGTTATCAACCTATGTTCACATTTTCTAGCTATAAATCTTAGTCAAGTTACTTTACTCCTCTGAGCCTTGATTTTCTTCAAAAAAACAAACAAAACACTTCAAGAGTAATTCTGCCTATCTGACTGGATTGTTGTAATAGTTGATAATGTATTTGGAGAACACATAACACTGTCTCTGATAAATTGTAAGTGCTTTGTAAGTACTCATTATTAGACAACAATTCATTATTATTTTAAGGTGGAAAGCACATGATACAAAATTGAGAATGATTATCTCTTTTTTAAAGATTTTGCTTTTTAGAACAGTTTTTAGGTTCACAACAAAATTGAAAGGAAGGTACAGAGCCACCATATACATGTATGTAC